GATCTCGGCCCTTCTTCAGCCGAATGTGAGCCAGCCGATTGAGCTTCTTCAGGGTCATGAAGTGCACGCAGCTCTGAACGCGTCGCTCGTCTATCTCAGAGGCCTGAGAGGCAGGAGGGAAATGTGTGAAGCAGCTCAGGTTCACCACAGAGCCCCTGCTGCAGCCTTTTCTTCGAGCACCGAGACGAGCGGGGCTCTGCGCTCCTCTGCAGGGCAGTGCTGATGTTACTGGGGTTCCAGGGGAGCCTCGCGTTGCTGGACACAATCGGAGGGCTTTCTGGTATCCACAGGAGCTCAGTTCTGCCCCCGAATCCCAACTCATCAGCACACTCCCCAGCCATGCCTCAGAGGTCAGTGATTCTGAGCAAAGATCGCTCAGCCAAAGACCACACACCTCAGCTTCATCATACATAACTTTATTTAACACAGACTGCTCCATTTGCCTAATTTTCCCCAGAACACGGCACGGCTTCTGCTCCTTTCAGATTACCTGAAAAATAACAGAAAACCAAGCACTCAAGGTTCTCCTTACATTGTCCTTGACGCCTCTGCTCTTCAGCTCCTGGATTTCTGCCATGAGCCTCTGAAGCTCCTGGCACGTCTCTTTGTAGAGTTCATAGTCCTTGATGGGGTCCCGGAGATCAACCTCACACTCCTCACTGTAGTACCGAGCATCCTGCAAAGGGCAAAAGTACCTGCACTGCTCGCTCTTACATGCTTGCAAAAAAGGGTAGTGAGAAACACAAGGCTGGGCTCAATTCTTTGCTGCATTAGCTTGAGATTTTGTACGTTGAATGACAACTCAGTAACCAATCCAGGACACAGACACTGGAAAACACAGGCTGTCTGTCAATGTAGTCAATGTGAGCTGAAAGGGGTGCTGTGCTGCTGCAGTGTGACGAGGTTACAGCAGAGAAGAAGCCCCGCTGACAGAAGCTGACAGAACTTTGGCCCTGAGCCTCATGTGAGCATCCCGAGGTAACCCAGGAACACCAAGGGCCCTTCCAGCCTTCTGCTCGCTGCCTCCCTGAGCACCGCGTGTCCTCAAGGAGTCAGAAGGGCAGAGGGGCAGTTCAGTTTCCGAGGTGCTGAGGGTCGGCTCTGACCCAGCACCGTTCAGCACACACCATTCCCGGCCACGCTTTACCTGCTCGCCATCGGCCTTGCCCCGCTTGCCCTCCTGCGGGCCCCCATCCGTTCGGATCACTTTGGGCTTCCTCTTCTTGCTGGAGTCCGAGGACATGACGCTGCCGGCCGAGGGCTGCGGACGGGCGGTAAGGCTACGCTCCGGGAGACCCAGCCGCTCCTCCTCAGCCAAGCCCAAGCGAGGCCTCCTGCTACCCCCTCGGGGGCACCGTGTCCCAGCCCTTAGCCTCCAGCTCCCCGCTCCCTACCCCCAGCTCCCCCTCGGGACCCCTCCGCTCCCTCCCCGCCCAACCAACACCCCTCACACCCCCACGGGCTCCGGCGGAGCCCCGCGCTCACCCCGCCACCCGCCTCAGCTCCCCCGGAAGTGACGTCACGGAGCAGCACAGCGCGGCCCGGAGAGACGCGATGACAAGCGCCCCCTGCCGGGCAGCCCGCTCTGGGAGGACCGTGGCCGGAAGAGCCCGACTGGAGCTGCACTGGGCGTGGCCTTGCGCCCGAAGGGGGCGTGGTCTGTCAGAATGTGGGCGTGGTTTGCACAAAGGGGCGTGGCCTATGGCCTCATTGGGTGGTGCGGTGCTGGCTCCCCGATAGCATCAGGGACACCGAGGGTGCAGGGGGCACTCTCGAGGGTCTCAGCATAAGGACAACTCATGCGTGAGGGTCCCCGTGTCCCCAGTGCTCCCTTCTCCCCAGACACGGACACTGGCAATTAAATATTTAATTGGTGACATCCCACAGCCCGGCGGGGACAGGCATCCGACGAGCAGCTCGTTAGCAGTAATTATGAGCAGCCCCCAGCTCACCTCTCAGGAGGGCTTCTGAGGGTTTGCCCCCAGCATGGAGGGCCAATGGCAACACGGGGTGCACTGCGGCACCTGCAGGTCCCCACAAACAGGGGGCAGCTGAGCCCAGGGGGTCGGGCTCTCACCCTTTCCCCCCTCTCCCCCCCTCAAGACACCCCAAAATGGGAGAAGACGCCCCCAGCACTTCCCAGCAGAGCTGGGGCAGGCAGCACGTGTCCCAGTTCATTGCAGCGGGGAGATCTTCAGGGGGATCATGATCCGGGACTCCATCGTCCGAATCAGCGGCACTGCACAACACAACGGGGGTGGCGTCACCTCGCAGCTCTGCCACAGGGACAGGGACAGCCCCAGCCCCCTGTGCTCACCCGTGTAGTAGACATTCTCATCCCAGCCCCGCTTCCTCCACGCCGCGTTCCTTGTCTCCTCACGGGACTGCAGGTCCTTGTAGGCTGCAAGGAGGGAAACCTTGTTCCTAACCCCGCCCTGCAGCCCCTGGGGAATGGTGTATGGGGTTTGGGGTGCACAAGGTGGTGGGGTGCCAGTGTGGGGTGGGTGAGATGAACGCGCTTACCCCAGAGGTGGTGCACGACATACAGCTCCCCGATCTGAGAGAAGAAGCCGCCCACTGCCTCCTGGTTCTCCTGGCGGTACTTTATGGCCCGAGCCCTGGTGAGATGGAGAGAAACACCAGGGCTGGCACAGCGCTCCCTGTGCTCAGCTCTTATGTCCCCGTGCTGAGAGCGGCCAAAGGTTCATCTGTGCCACCACCACAGGAACAAGGATGTAGGAATGGGTCCAAGGGCCAGCATCACCTGGCCATATGCAGAACACCAGCTGGATAAAGCAGCCACTCACCAGTTATTGCCCCACTCGATCATGGTCCCTGGCTGCAAACAGAGGAAATAAACAACAGGATAAGGCAGCTGCACCCCAAGTATCACTTTCTCCCTCTGCCCAGGGCCAACTCACAGCCAGAGCGCAAGTGACCCCAAACACCTGCAGACCACAGGCTGCTTTGCAGACCCCAGCACGTATAGCAGGGCTCTGGGATCCCCTGGGTTCCAGTGCCATGCCTGGGATTAAACATTTCATGCCTCACCTTGAGCTTGTAGGTCCTCAGCTCATAGATGTTGGGCCCCTTGCGGGGCAGGGGCTCATTCCAAAAGCTGAACTCCAGCAGCAGTTGGTTCCTGCGGGACAGCAGCATGTGGCTCCTCTCCTTGCGGAAATCCAGGTACTCCTGTGGACAGCCAAGACTCAGGGCAAGATGATGGGAGCATGGACACCCCACAAGGCACCCCATTTGGCCACCAATGTGAGTGGTACCTTATTCTGCTTCAGCTTGTTCATGCAGTCCATGAGGGCTGGGTACCCACCAGAGAAGCGCCAGAGGTGCACTGGGATGGGACAGTAAGGTCTGGCAGGAGGGGAAAGCACCAGGGAGCCCCCCTCCCAAATGACCAGGATTCACCCCACATCCCCTCGGGGTCACGGCCATGCAGGGTCGTCTGCTCCTGCAGAAATGCAGCCCTCACCTGCTTGGTCCTGCTCCCCGTACCACGTATTCCAGTTCCCAACCAGGTCACAAGGGTAATCGGCATCTGAGTGCAGCTTGGGCAGCACCTCCTCCCTGCAGGAGGTACAGGAGATGGTTTATGGGGTGCTCCTGGGCTGCCCCAGATGGGAGAAAGGGGGCAGCTGGAGCTGGCAAGCAGCAGCTGCGTCTCTCTCAGCTAGAAAAGTGCTGAGTTTCTGACCCCAGAATGCTCCCGACATCCCCATTTGCCTTCTCAGCCCAGCACAAGAGATTCCAAAATCCCCCTGACACCCCCAATTGACCCCCTCCCAGCCTCCGGGAGATAGTGGGCAGTCCCCCAGCTCACGTCAGGCTGTTGTAGGCATCCAGACATTCTGGCTTCACATTGTGAACTGTGGGGGAAAGATGGCAAGATGCAATGTCACAAGAGAGAGCGGGATGAGCGGCTGTGTTATCAAGCTGCAAGGGCCTGGGAGGGGTGTGCACCCTCTGCCTGTGGTGTCACTCACACTGGATCTTGTAGAGGTTGCTGGTCTCTTTCTTGGACAGAAGATTGGAATGGGCATCCTTGCGTGGATCCACCTTGTGCACAAACAGGGAGCGGAACCAGCTGCCCTCAGCATCCTGTGAGTATGCCCTGCGGGACCACGCCGTCAGCAGGGCTTGGGGGAGGATTGAGGGGGGCAGGATACAGCTGGGCACAATGGCTGTGGTCTGATGTGGGGGGAAAACGGGAAGCAGAGGAGGGATCTTGTTCCATTCCCAACCCAGCCCCAGGGCTGCGCGCTCCCTCACCCAGTGCTCCCCAGGGAGAGGTCATTCATTTCGCAGTAGCCCTGCCCAGGGGTGTAGGGTGACAGAGATGACACAGAGGCAGTGCACTCGGTCAGACCTTTGCCCACAGAGCGGCAGGGCCTGGTAATGTATTAACGGCGTGGGGTCAGCGGCCCTGGATGCTCAGCGAGGGCACAGGGTGACAGCAGGCCCTGAACCACGGCGGGGGGAGATGGGGTGGGAGATAAAGGGGTTGAGACTGGGGGAGATGGGGCTGAGATAAGGGGAGACGGATGCCGGAGGGGGAGAGGAGGGCCGAGGGGAAAGACTGGGGGAGGGGGGTTGGGGCCTTCTAGGGGAAAGATGGGTGCCGGGGGGCAAGGAGAGCTGAGGGGGGGGGGGATGGGAGCTGAGTGGAGGACCAAGGGAAGGGCGGAAATGGGGCCTGGGGGGAGACAGGAGCTGAAGGAGAAGAGATGGGAGCTGCGGGTTTCTGGGCCTGAGGGAAAAGATGGGCCTGGGAAAGAAACGGGGCGTCGGGGGAATGATGGGACCTGAGGGGAATGATGGAGCCTGGGGAGATGATGGGCCATGGGGGGTTCCGGGCCGCGGGGCGGGCAGGGAGGGGCCGGGCTCCGCTCACCGCGCCCCGCCGAGGGCCCCGCAGCCGCCGCCGCCTTGCAGCCGCCGCAGCAGCACCGCACCGCCTCCTGCCCGCGCCGCCGCCATCTTCCCGGGGCGGGGCGCCTTGGGGCGTGGTTAAATATAGCCACGCCCACAATCGGACTCTGCCCCTCATCGGGCGTGGCACCGCGCTGGCCCCGCCCTCAAAAGCTGGCGTGCAGCAGGGTGATTCTGATTGGCTGCCGCGCCGATCCGTTGGCCACGCCTTCTCTTCCGTCCTCGAGCCCCCGGCTACCCACAATGCTTTGTTCCCACGGCCACATAGAGATCTCATTGGCTGCCGCCTGCGCGGCCGTGCCTCCAGATGCCAGCAGCCAATCAGAGGTCTCCCTTGGAAAAGTCGATTCTTGATTGGTTACGGTGCCTTCTTTTGCATCCCTAAGCCCTCCTACGGCCGGCGGCGTCAGCTGCTGATTGGTCGTTGCCACGGAGGGGCGGAGCTGGCCGTGAGGCGGGGCTTCCTCCGGGGCGGGCGTGCTCGGGAGCGCTGGGCGGGGCGGGGCCGGGCTGGGGGCGGGGTTAAAGCACTGATCGCCCCCAGCCCCGCCTGTGGGAGCCGTGCGACCCCCCCACCCATAGCTCCCCATGGACTCCCGCTTCCCTCCATCACTCCCTACAATCCCCATTTTGTGCCCCACAACCCCTCATTGCCCCCCTTAGCCCCACGTGGCCTCTCCGTAACCCTCCATAGTCCCACCTTGGTTTCCATAGGCCCTCAAGACCTCCTGTGGCCTTCCTTTATCTACTCCATACCCCCCCATTGTCCTCCACGACCATAGCCTCCTTGTATCCACCCATGACTCCTCTACGGCTTCCTGTGACCTCCTTGTAAACCTCCATAAAGCCCCATAGCCCTCCATAACCACCCATAGCCTCCTATAGCCCACCATTACTCCTTCCATGCCCCCTATAGCCCCTCCATATCCTCCCCCCACGTGGCCCCTATATTCCCCATGAGCCCCCATAGCCCCCAACCCCCCTTCCCCCCATGTTTCCCAGTTTGGGGCTCACCCCCCCAGGGGTGAGGCAGAGTGCCGCAAACTGCACATCCAGGCCCCCAGCTCCTCAGGGCTGTCAGCCCCCAGCACGTAGCTCCGCATCCCGGGATGCTCGACCTGGGGGAGCAATGAGCCAGCAATGGGCCTGGACCCCCCCTTCCTCCCCCCAGCACTTATTCAGCCACAGCACCCCAAGACCCACATGGGGAACTGGGCTTTGGGGTCCCAACCTCGGCTGCAGAACGGCAGCTGTTGTTGCCCCCTGTTTGGAGTTCCCCCCCCGACTGACCGTGAAGAGGAAGCGAGGGCTGCCGGTGCTGGGGGCCAGGACGCGGATCCTGTAGCCAGGTAGGGGGAGTCCCCCCCGTACTCGCTGCTCGCTGCTGTCTGAGGGCAGGGGAGGATTCAGGGGGGCAGCCCCAGGGACCTCTCCGAACCCTGCAGAGCTCCAGTCCTATGGCGGGGGCTCCACTGACCCCCTGAGTTCCCCCAGACCCTGCCCCAGGGAGCCCCAAGAAGCCCCTGACCCCTGTCACAAGCCCATCCCCTGCCCCTCGCCTCACCCCTGTAGTAGTAGAGGCAGAGATCAACCAGCACAAACCAGCGCCGCTTCCAGAGCCTCAGCCCTGAGCTGTCCTGGGGAGGTAAAAAGGGGGCTGAGCCAGCACCCCAAACACAGAGCCCCCTGAGACCTGCCCCAAACCCTTTGGATCCCCCCAAAACCTACAACCCACCAGCTTCTACAGCTTCCTCCCAGACCCCTCCAACATTCCCAAACATCTCCAAGACCCATAACCCCCCCCAGACTTCTCCAAACTCCATAACATCATTAGGGAATCCTCTAAACCCAGACCCTACCCCTAACCTCCAGCACCCACTGACCCCCCACAAGCCCTTCCGACCCCCCCCTCCCCACCAAATCCCATAGCCTTCCCCCAGCACACCCTACTTCACTGTCCCCCTGAATCCCCCCTCCTCAGTCACCTGTGGTCCTACAACCACGCACCCCCCCCCGTCCCGCTGTTCCCTTCAGCCCCACCTGCTTGTGCAGCCAGCCCCGCATGGTGGGGGGGATGTGGGGGTCTCTCCTCATTGCCTGCTCCCCCTTTCCAAAGGTGTGGATCCTTGGCACAGGGCGGCAGGGCTGGGCACAGGACATTACCAGGGATGGGGTCTTAAAGGGATTCCCTCAGGTCCCTGTGTCCCCTTGCCTTGTTACCCTGGTCCCCCACTCCCCAGGGTCCCCTTTCACTCCCTCCCATGTTTGTCTTCGTCCCTCATGCCCCCTGGTCCCCCCTGTGCTCCCACAAAGCTCCCCATGTCCCTCCAGCCCCCAGTCTTCTCCATAGCTCCCTTGGGCTCCCCATATTCCCCACAGACCCCCATGCCCCCACTGCCCCCCAGGTACTCTCATACTATCCCACAGATCCACAGATTCCCTTTGTACCCCATATCCCTCATAGCTCATCATGCCTCTCCCAGACCCTCCCTTAATTCCCCATGCCCATCTGATCCCCCCTTACACCCTCCATATTTCCCCACATGCCTTCTACTAATTTGGGTCCCCTTGGACTCCTCCATACCCCCCCATAGCTCCCCATACCCCTCCCAGACACCCTCATTTCCTCAATACCCACTGTGCTCCCTCCCCATGTACCTTCCAGTCCCCTTGCTTCCTTCATACTCCTACACCCCCCGTCGCTCCCCCAGACTGTCCATACACCCCCCCCCCCCCATATCTCCTCTTGTGGCCCCCAGCCCCCCATGCCCACTTGGGTGCCGTTGCCGGGGCCCCAGGGGGTTGCAGCGTTGCTGTCGGCCATAGGGTCCCTGTGGGGGTGGTTGGAAGGAGGGGGGGGGTGGCACTGTGAATGGTCCCATTCAGCCCTCACCCACCCCACAGCACAGAGGCCCCATTCTGTGGCGTGCGGGGGCACTGTGGTGCTGAGATGGGGCCTGGGAGAGGGGCCCAAACCTTTTATTCCAATCCCATAATTCCTATGCCAGTCTCAGTCCTCATCCCATTTTCCTGATACGGGTTCCAGTCTTCTCCTGTTATGTTGTTACTGTCCCATTTAACCGTTATCCCCATGGCAGTCCTGGTTCCAACCCTACCTTCATTATCCCAGTACCGATCTGCATCCCCATTCCCACCCTGCCATCCTAGCTGTGGTTCTGATCCTGCCCCATTATCCCCATGCTGGTCTCAGTCCTATCCCACTATTCCAGTCTCAGTCCTGTACCGTTGTCTCAGTCCTTGTCCCATTCCTATTATCCTGTCCTGCTGCTGTTATTTCAGTACTGGTCCCATTCCCATTATCCCAACGCCGTCCTACTCCTGCTTTCCCCACAGTGCATCCCCACGAGGTGGAGGCTCTGAGACCCCCCTGCATCGGGGCCAGGACCGGGCAGCGCCCCCCACCCCACGGCCCCGCAGTGCCACCGCAGCAGCAGGACGGGGACGGCGCTCAGCTCATTCACGACGGCAGGGTGATGCACGCTCCTCCGGCCGCAAGAGGGCGCCACATGCGCGCCGCAACGTGTGTGCAGGAAGCCCTGTTGTCTACCCCCGCTCCTTCCCCTTGACGAGCGGCCTTTTCGCCCAATCCGCACGTTCCTTTCGTCCCCTCTCCCCGTCACCCCGCTTCTGATTGGCTTTGGTGCTGCGCGACCCTCGGGGCGGAGGGCGGGACGACCCGAGCTCGGAACCAATAGGGAGAAGCCGTTCTGAGGCTGGGCTCGGCGCGGCCCGGAGCCGCCGCCGCTGCCGCCGCCGCCATGGCGCTGCCCCCGCGGCGCGGCCCTCGGCGCTGAGCTCCTCCCGCACCATGGCCGGGGCCATCGCGTCCCGCATGAGCTTCAGCTCGCTCAAAAGGAAGCAGCCCAAGACCTTCACGGTGCGCATCGTCACCATGGACGCCGAGATGGAGTTCAGCTGCGAGGTGACGGCCGCGGCCTAAGCCCTGTTGCCATGGAGACGGGGCCTCGGGCCTCGCTCCCCCGCTCTGGGTGTCCCGAGCGCCCCGGGCCCGGCCCTGCCGCGGGGTCTGAGGGCTGCCGGGCCCGGCCTGGGCCTGGCCGGGGGCCGTGGGGCTCAGCCTGAGGCCGGGCGGGTTATCTCGGGCTTAAAGCCGCGGGGCTCGGCACGGGGCTGCGGGAATTCCCTCGGCGTCCCGCCCCGACTGGTCGCTGAGGTGTCCTGCCGTGCGCGTCTCTTAGGTCAGGTTTGCCTTCGCTTGGGCCCGCGGTGCCTGTCGGGCAGCCTTGCCGTGGCTGCTGGCCCCAGGGGCTTCCTTTTGTTGCTGCGTTTTCAGATCACGAAATGCTCTGGAGGGATGGGGCACGGAGAGACTGAAAACCCACTTTAAAGCATGAGCTGTGAAAAAGGAAAACTCACTCCGTCCGAATCTTGATGTAGTTCCGTGCCTGTGAGCCGAAGGGTGTTTGTCCTTGTGACGTTTCTCACTGCTGAAATGCACTGTCAGCTCTGGGGCACACCGTGCCTTTCCCAGGGGTTAAGGAGTTATTGTCACTTCCAGCTCCTTGGCGTTACCCTGCCGGGAGGGTTGAGATATCCCAGTCCTGCTCTGACACTTTCCTAGGCTGCCAACAATGAGGTGATGAGAAGTCAGTAACTCTTTTCACGCCGTGGCCACTTGTTGTTTCATGTTGGGATCAGGGCGTTTATGAAGAGGCAGCACGGCGCTCCCAGTCGGGTTGGAACACGTAACTTGTGCACCTTCAGCTGCCTGCTGGGGAGGCTCCAGCCAAAGACTTTGCAACAGAGGCTGCCCAGCCTTTGGGGGAACTCAGAGAGATGCTTGTGAGCGTTGTGCTCCTGCACCTCTGACCTCTCACTGGAGCACAGAGGACACGTGCAGGAGCTCAGGCTCTGACCTCCAGTGTGAGACCTTCCAGCAGTGGGGAAGAAAGGATCAGGTTGGGTGGCTGCATTGCATGGCCCCCCTAGTTCTCCCCCAGACCCTCCATGCCCCCCGCAGGCCTCCCCATGCCCACTTGGGTGCCACTGCCGGAGCCTCGGGGGGCACATTGCATGGCTCAGCTGTGGCTGTTTGAGCTCCCTGGCTCCCTGCCTCCTCTGTGTAGTGACAGCTGCAGGGAAGGACCCCCAAAACGCATCCACACAGACCATTGCCTGCCCCACTGCAAACAGCTGCCTCACATCTCTGTGCCTCCTGTACACCTCTTCAGCCTCACGCTGAGTGCTTGTGCCCCTTTTCCTTCCTGGATGCATGCAGGGTGAGCAGTTAGGGAGCTGCTGTGGGGAGGCTGGTGCTGCTCGTGGTCTGGGGCCCTGCTGGTCTGAGCCCTGCTTAACTGCTGGCTTCTTTGACCAGTGCTGATCGCAGTGCCAGTGAACACATCTGAGTGAGTGACCAAGCTCTGCTGGAGCAGCCTTGCTATGCAGGATTAATCTCTCTGGCTCCTTTTCAACTTTGTTGCAGAGCTCTTGAGGCGCGTTGTGTGTTTTCCTGAGTGACTTTGCACAGGACGGAGGTGACGGGGGGTGGTGAGGTGTTGTCAGCGTGGTGTGAGGTCTGGTAGCAGCTGGCTGGCTGTGGCACCAGGCGCTCGGGCCGTCAGTTCCCATCTGGCACAGGAGGAGTGCATGTGAGGCTGTGTGCCACCCCGTTCTGCTGCCACCTCTGGTCGTGGCAGCCCCTCTTATTCTGAGCAAGCTGATGTGGCTGTGCCACCTTTTCCTTATTCATTTTTCAGTCTGCCCTGCAGGAATTCCTGGCTGGGTATTGCAGGAGATTAAACCTGCTCTGCGCCTGTTGACTCTGTGAATAATGTCTCTAAATTGAGTCTAAATCTGAAATAATTCCTAGAAATGAAATCTTAATTTTTCTAACGCTGTGATGAAGCTTAATGATGGCAGTTTGGGCCTCACTTCAAAGATTTGTAATTTGTTCAGGGAAATCTTAAAGGCACGATGTCAACGTCTCCCTTTTTGTGTTACTTCCATTAGAGCTGTGTGAGCACGGTTCCTAATTAATTGATAGCATCTTGAGCAAGGACAGACATTTGCATAACTATTGAAATCCCTGCGCTAAGCCGCTTGCTGGCTGCCCCATCTTCCTGAGCACCACCACCTGCACCTGGAGAGCAGCGGGAGAGAAATCCTACTGGAAAACACACAGGGTCAATTAACACCACCGTGTGCCAGGCACTGCCTGAGTGACAGCTGGGGGTGCTGGTGGTGCTTGCTTCGCTGCCTCCCAGGTTGTGATGCCAGGACACTGAGTGGCCAATGGCTTCCTCTGACTGCCCCCCTCGTGGGGCGACTTGCTGCCGTTCCTGCCCCAAATTGGACTAGTGATAATGCAGGAGTGAGGCAATCCTGGTGGTGGCTCTTTGTGAGATAGTCGGGTTGTTCACTTCTCTTGCACAGTGTCTTTACCCCACGGTACTGTTGGGTTCCTGTGGGGCTCTTTTCCTTCTGTTCCCGCAGCAGGATTGCAGTGCTGGTGTTGGGTTGGTCACTAATGCCAAGCTGATAGAAGGATCCACCGGTCCTTGATTTGCTTTGTTCCTGTGGTGTGGCAGCGTGGTGACTGGCTCTCCAGCTCTGGAGTCTCAGCAGCTTCTCAGAAGGGTGTTTCCTCTTTATCCACAGTGCCTGTGGTCTTGGAGCCCCTGTAGGAGTCATTATGGGACCAAGCAGCAGCTGCCTCTCCGCTTAATCCTTGGACAGCAGCAGCTCTTTCAGCCAGAAATGAGTGGGAAAGCTTAACAGCCAACCTGGAGAATGCAAAAGCATTGAAGCAGTAAGAAGAGACACTTGGACGTTTGGTCTAAACTTTGCTGTGTCACTGCCTGAATGCTTAAGCTGTTCCTCTCTGTTCAGAAAACAGCCTCAGCTGGAAGGTGTCTGTGCAGGGCGTTAGGCCTCGGAACCCAACTTGCTGTGGTTGGTTGTAAAACTTTCCTATGTGCATGTAAGTAGAAAAAGTCTCTTTTAGCAGCATGCAGCCAAGTGTTGGTCTCCCTGTTAACGTTTGCAGGGGGTTACATAGCTGTGCTGCAAAAGCTTATCCCTGGGAGCAGGGGCAGGCTGAGGTCTGGTGTGGAAAATCTGTGGAAAATAAGTTGTTGGGGTTGTTTGTGTGTCAGAGCAGGGAGTTCAGCTCACTGCGCCCGAATGAAAAGGGCAGGAGGAAGAAGCAGGGGATGAAGTTTCTGCCTGCTTTGCAAAATGGTTGGGAGAGGTTTTACGTGGGTTTGTTCATCCTTTGGTAGATGTTCACCAGCTCCTTGGTGCTGCCGGTAGTGGCACTGACCTCTCGATGCTGCTAAGCTGCTGCAAGCAGGCGGAGATGGATCTGGGGACAGGAACAGCTCTCCTAGAAAGCTGAGAGAAATAATCCCTGCAAAATGATCTTCAGTAAATTACTGGGATGCCGGCTGTCAAGTCGATGTTCTGGTTCCTTTGTGCACCCATCTGCCCTCGGCCTGTGTCAGTTCTCTGAGTGCTCACACGCTTTTGCTGCTCGGTGGCTCCCGATCGCTGCTTTAATAAGAGAAGTGGCAGGCAGAAGCTGCTTTCCCATTTGATTTGCATCTCTGGGGGCTTTATGGCAAAAGCAGCAGTACTGCTAATTTACAGCCACGTCACTTGGGGATTTCTCAGGGCTGTCTTGCTGGGTTCTGTTCATTTCTGCATTCTCTTTCTCAACCTGTGTGCAGGTCACACGAGACACATGAGCACAGATCTCCTTGACTTCGTTCTGATTGCACACCGAATCTGAAATGCTCTCTGCTCTCCCGCTCCAAGCTCTCCTCAGCCTCTTCTTGAGCCCCATGTTGTCCAATTCCTTCCGTTCAGGAGCTCCACCAGTCCTCCCTCATCCAGCCTTTGGCTGAGCTGGGTTCTGTTGCTTGTTTTCCCCTCCCTTGCCAGCTGGAAGAGCTGCAGCAGCCCTTTCTTCCCCTGCACCCAGCCCTGTCTCTGTCTCGGGCAGACAGCAGGCACTGTGCTTGGCTGCGCCATCTGCCTTGTTATGCCTGGGTGGGTTTTTGGCCTCCTCGGTGGTTAGCAGGAATAGATTTTAATTAAAAGCTCATTATCAAGTTGTCGTGTAGCATTAGTAAATAAAAATAACTTTTACGGCCCTGTCTCGTGGCTCAGTAAGTGGCAATTGAAAGTATTTGACATCTGTTTATTTAAAGGAATGGAGGAATATTGAATTTTTGATTCCCTGCTCGCTCCAGAAGGACGTTAAATCCAAACGAAGGGTTGTCTGGGGCGCTCCTGTGAGCGTGCAGGGTCCAAACAGCCTCAAAGTTGCCCTGCGTTGGGCTGTCTGCTGCTGTGGGTTCTGCTTGGTCATCTGGTGGATGAGGGGCAGCTGCTGTGTGCCCAGAGGGGCTCCGTTCTGTGATCTCCCCCTGTGTTTCAGGGCAGAGGTGTTGGCTCTGCTAAAAGCTGCTCCTCCCACAGGGTTCCTGAGTGGAAATATCTTGCTGTGAAGCCATCGTGCTGCTTCCCAGGGCTCGGCCCCCTCCTCTGCTTGTCCTGCCTGCCATTGGCATCACAACAGGGACCCTGGGCTCCTGTCTCGTGTCTAGCACAGAACCAGTACTGACATTGAATAAAGTTGACCTGTTGAGCTGAAGAGCCACCGTTCTGTGTTTGTCGTACGAAGGCCTGGTCTGTTTTTGTGATGGAAGGGAGGTGAGCTGCCTTGAGCTGGGTTCTGCCCCAAGAAGATCGGGCGTGTATTTGTTCCTCTCCTTCCTCTCATGAAATCCTAAGGGGTTTAAAACCATTCCTCTTTCCCTTTCCCGTGTAAATTCAGCAGGGCATCACTGGAAGTGAAGCATCAGCAGAGTTTGGGAACCGCTTTTCTCCTTCGCACCCTCAGCACTCTTCTGCAAGGCACCTCCTGTGCCTTGCTGTGTGTTTTCTTCTAGCTCTTGGCCTCCTTGTTGTCAGCCCTTGCCAGGGGGATCAGCTAAACCTGCCTCGTGTTTGTGCCACCGGGGAACAGGCTGGGGAGCTATGGAGCAGTGCTGAGAATTGCTGGCAAGGGTCCGCATTGAAATAAATCGCCCAGTTGCCCGTCTGTTGGAAATTGCTCTTGTTGCAGTTTAATAAATAATGCAAACCCCGTTAATAGCTGCCAAATGCGAGGGCTCTGCTGGAGAAAAAGATGATGCCAATAAGGCACGGTGGAAGTGGAAGCTCCTTTCTAACTGCTGGGTTGTAAGTGCTTAGTGCTGTTTGCTTAAAACGCTGTGCTGATAAATCGTGAGCACTCTGTGCTTAGTAAAGAGCATAAATTGCAGCTCTGCAGAATCACAGCCTCGCAGCACTCGCTGCATTCCTAAAGCAGTTTGTCCCTGCGTTCCTCCGAGACTTGTGGGATGTCTCTAGCAGGTTGTGCTGAAATGAAGCAGGTAGGAGGCTGCAGAGCCACAAGAGTGAGAAGTGACATCTGCAGCCACATCCTGCTCCCCTCTGCGGGTCGTGCAGGGCCGCCTGGCTGCGCAGGATTAGGGTTGTTTTGATGGAGCTTCTGGTTGGAGGCTGAGCTCTGTTACAGCATGGTGCCAGCTGCTCGAGTGCACGGCTGAGGGCACTGCTCTGCTCTAAGCCTCTCTGTTTTGTTTTCAGGACCTTCTGACGACATGCGAAATTGTCCTTGTGCTTCAGGTGTACGGAGCAGGGGAGCGGTGTGATGAGCAGAGGGTGGAATGTGGAGCTGCCAGGCTGCAGGCTCACGGCTGGCTCGTCTGCTCAGCCCCTGGCATCAGCTCTTTATCCCCCGCTGTCCCTGGGGGCCTTTATTGTGTTTTATGGCCAGGAAATGTGGCAGTTAATGATACGAGGCCTATCAAATATGGGTACAGAGCTGAGGTCTTCCATGTCTGTAAAACAGTTGGAGTTCAGCTGTCCAAAGATGCCACTTGAATGCAGATCATTATTTTAAGTACCGAGGTGTGGAAGGCGATCGTGTACGTTGAAATAAACGCGGCTGTTCCATTTCTATATTTAATGAAGGTAATTCAGCGGGCAGCAGTGTTAAATGCGTGTCTCTGCCCTACTGTGTGCGTGCAGCAACAGCAGCAGTGTCAAATGTGATGGCAGAAACAATTGCTTCGCAGAGTGGGAATTGCAGGAGGGGCGTGCAAAGCGGCAGCTGTAAGGTGGGTGGCTGGGGTGAGCAGCAGCAGCCCATGGAGATCCGGGGGGGCAGAAAGGGGTGCAGTGCTGGGAAGCAATAGGCTGAAAGATGGCCTTTGTGAAAAGGGGGGGGTTGGAAATAATAGCAAAGCCCAAATGGCAATGCATTATGCAGAGCAGTTTAATTCCAGTTAGGAAATTGCCCTCTGATGGTGGCGTGCTTCCACGTGCCTACAGCAATGTATGGAGCGGCTGCTCAAATGCATCCTGCTCTGTGCTGTCTGAAACCTCAAATTAACCTCCTTCTTAAAATAATAGTCGGGAGGAGACGTGCAATCTGAAGCATCCTGTGCCAAGCTGGAGCTCGTTGTAGGGACCGGAGGCTGGTTTGATGTGTGAAATTCGGGTTTTGTAATTGCAGCGCTGCACAACTCGCTCCTCCTGGTGCTGCTGACCTCGAGGTGTTGATTGCGCCTGATAGGAACTGCAGAGGGGCCGTGGCGAGCCGCCCTGGGGTGCTGCTTTTTGGAGTGGCTTTCTTCTATTCTGGGACGTCGGTGCTCGTGTGTGCCCTGCGAGGGGCAGCACCAGCCACGTGCTCGTTGAATCCGAGCAGGAATCGGCCTGTCCTCAGCCGCTTTGCCCACAAGGCGGCAGTGGGGGACAGCGGAGCGGGGATCGGCCCCGCGGCAGCAGCGTGCGCCGGGGCCCTGCGTTCCTATCGATGCTGGCCAGGTGGCACCGAGATTGAGTTGTAGCGACAAGAGAATGCGCTGAGATCCCTTTGCCCTGGGGCTTTGGAGTAATGGCCGTATGTCTCAGTTTCCGCCGCGCAGATGGAAGACCAGAGTGGCTCTGGCACATTAGGTTCATCTGTTTTATGTCTTTCTTCACCTTTCTGCCTCCCAGCGCCTTCTGGTTTTATGAACAAAGTTCAGCAGTGGCGCGGTTGCGACGACAAGACTGTTGGAAGGCCGCGCTCTTTGGGCACCTCCGTTTCCTCTGCTCCCTTGCTGCTTTTGTCACGTCTTCAGTGTAAGGCACAGCCTGACACGCTCAGAGAGAACTGCAGATTTCAATGATAGTCCTGGGCCCTCCTCCCCGTTAGCCTGTGCAGAGCCTGTTGCTGTGGATGCACGCAGTGGATGCATCGGTTGTTTCCCTTCTGGTTTTCGGTTGTGTTGTGCCCTGTGTTGTGTTGTGTCTGCCCGAGCTGCTGATACTGGAGGTTGGGCAGGGATTCCTGGGGCCGTAGCTGCATTAAAGCTACCAAAGGGCAATTAAGAGTGATACGTAGACATTTTTCCCTCTTTCTTTCCATGCTGAAAATGGGCTACTCATAGAGGAGCTTGATTCAAAAGGACCCCTCAGATCCTCCGACTTCTGGTGGATTGCTAAAGGAAGGAACAGTGGAACTTTGCAGTGTCATTTGGGTGGGCCTGGCGTTCCAGTTTCCCTATGAGGAACACATTGTGAGGTGGAAAAAAGAATGGATTTGGTTGAACGGAAACAAAATCCTCAAGTCCATCTTTATAACTTGGCTTCCCTTTCCTTTTCCTGCAGGTGAAGTGGAAAGGCAAGGACTTGTTTGACCTGGTATGCAGAACGCTGGGACTCCGAGAAACATGGTTCTTTGGCCTGCAGTACACTATCAAGGACACGGTGGCTTGGCTTAAAATGGACAAGAAGGTTGGAAGCAAGGCTCTTCTGAGAGTTCCCAAAGGGTGACAGAGGAGGATGTATAGAATCGAAGAGTAGCTTAGGTTGGAAGGGACCTTAAAGATCACCTTCCAGCCCTGAGGTGCTGGACTGCAGGAGGTCTGTAGTGTAAACAGAGTCTAGTGATGGCTGCTTTTAGTCTCTCTTCTACAGCCCTGAATGACAAGCCCTGTAGCAGGAAGATGAATGGTTGCACCTTGGCTTCTTTTGCTGTTGAAGTGTGCAAAAGCAAAGGAGGAGGCAAAACTGCAAAATTGAGGAGTGAAAAGGAGGTGGAGATGAGGGATGGGATGCTTCCCAGATATGTGAGCCTCTGGGTTGCTGAGCAGTTGGTTAGAGAAGTGATGGATGTGGCTCTGTTTGCACCCAAACGATGCTGCACTAAAACCAGGCAGTAATTGTGACTAAAGGAGGCGTCTCTCGGTGTCATGCCAAAGTTTTAAGCTAACATGAATCTGAACCAGACAGCGCCAGCATAATAGCAAGGTGTCAGAGAGCAAGTCTGAAATAGAGGGAGAGGCACTGCAGGGAAAGAGCCATAAAGGTTGGTGGTGGCATAGCAGCATCTAACATCATTGCGAGAGGTTGGGAAGCAGCATTACGCACACAGCAGATCAAGATCAACCTTTGCTGTCTCATCTTGCATGCTGTTTGTTTTCTTGCACGGTTCTGATTGTCAGAAATGTTTGTTTTCTATGCTCTTCTGAACTACTTAGGTTGTTTCATCCCTTCTGCACGCCTAAGATGCTTGACAAAAGCTGTGCTGATATTAACAGAAGGTGACAGCGTGGCTCCTAGAAACAGGACACTGACAAAGCTAGGGGGTGTAATTGAATGGCTTTTCTATTCCCCAGGTTCTGGATCATGATGTGCCAACAGAGGAACCTGTCACCTTTCACTTCCTAGCCAAATTTTATCCTGAGAACGCAGAGGAGGAGCTGGTCCAGGAGATCACACAGCACTTGTTCTTCCTGCAGGTAGGAGCCTTGTAAGTACAGTGTTTTCCAGCATGAAGGAGGAAGGAGCAAGGATGAGCAGAAGTACAAGAAGGTTTTGGGGACTGAGGAATTTGGTCGGCAAAGCATGGCTCTTTGTCATTACATTCACACCCCTCTGAATGCAGTTGTCTTGAACTGCAGAAGTGTCCTAAAATAGGTGAGAGATGGATGAAACAGTCCCAGGTGCCCAGGCTTGCAAACTGGCCATCAGAAATGATTAGATGATTTGTAACATTAGTGTGTGGTAGTTAAGGAAAATGAATCTGTCAGATGTGGGCATGAATGACACTCGCAGCCTTGGAGTCTGCCTCTCTGCAGGGTGTAGATATCAATTGTGCTGAGAGATGACAATTGCCTTTATAAGTGATAGTGTTCTTGTGGGAAGCAAGGGGATTTCATCCCGGAGCACAGAATGCAGCCAACCTGTTTCATGTACAGGCTGTACAGCAAGGTTCACCTCTTCACAAATCAGCCTTCAGGTAACTGGAGCAGAAGAAAATCCCAGAAGCACAGCTCTGTCATAAACTGATGGCAGAAGCAGAGGAGAAGGGGAAACCTAGCTGTCCTGCCTGCACAGTAACTTCTTACTTAAAGTGCTCTACCAAACATCACCTCTTGAGAAATCAGTTCTGCTGATGTTGTAGCTGTGCTGTCTGACTGGTAATGAAGCGTTTCTGTCACAGCAGCTTTCTCTTTCAGACAAGATCAATTTTCAGAAACTATTTACTATAAAAAGGAACAGGAGGCAGGAGTGTTACAGGCTGTAGAATAATCCTGGGCTGATCTCTCTGGGCGTTCATTAGGATGTTGTAGCTGCTCCTTGGCTGTTGAAGTTGCACCAAAATAGGAGCAATCTGGATTCAGCTGCCTTGCTTTAGATTTCAGTGTACTCTGCCCTTTACAACAGATATAAAAGTGAGCTCACTAGCTCATTGATACTCCTCCCAGTTCCAAAGTTTGTCTTTGTTCTTCAGAGCTAAAGGTTGAAATGCAAAATATTGCTGTTCATTTCCAAAGTCTGTCTTGTGCTCTCGTGTCTCCTTAGGGCAGTTTCTAAATGTCCAATTTGCCATGGCTTTTAGGCCTGATAAGGAAAAATGCTTTTTGGCAGCTTTGAAAAATAGAATCACAGAGGAAAAGCAGTTAAAGCTGCATTTTATAAATGCAGACCGTGACTTTTCTGCTAGGATTTTAATGATATGAAAGGAGCCAATGCTCCAGTACTGTGTGTAAGAAACAGGAACACACATAAGCTTGCAAGCTCCCCCGTTCACCTTAATGCAGGAGAATCTTCTGTGATTATGTTGTAACTGACTTTGAGGGTGCAAAACGTGCTGTACATTCAAATACACGTTACTGTATCTCTGTGACAATCCATTTTAGGAAAACAGTACTTTTTTTTTTGTTCTTCAGAAAAATTAAGTGGCCAAGAACATTAAATATCAAACGTGACAGGTTTAATTTTTTAATGCACAGAAGCCAGGAAACAGCAAGCAGTAGCTTTTGGGAACTGTATGCTGGCTCTCCTGGGAGCGTGCGCAGGAGCTGCCTGCTGTTAAAAGCACTGCCACAGAGGTGACCTGCAGTCTGCTTGCTGTTGCTGGGGATTGGAGGGAATTAGCCCCAAGCACAGGTGAGCACCTACTCACAGAAAGGTCTGAATGCCCCGCAGCAAAGCCCTTTGTGTGCTCAGAGCCTCAGCTGCAACTCCTTTTTTTCATTTAGTGTTGCATGTAGTCCTGTCAATCTACAGCTTATGCCTTAGGAGGTTTTATCTCCACATTGAAGGCTTTTTTTCCCCCCTTGCCCTTCACAGTGAGATACAGGTTCTGTCACTTTCCCAGTATAAATTTAGTTTCTTGCAAACCTGTCTGCAAAAGGTGGCTTGTGAAAGCCTGAGCCCTTCCCTGTACAGACATCAGAGATTTCCTGGGCCTGAGCAGGAGCTAGTGTTAGCAATGTTGTTAACTGTGTGGTTGACAGCCCTAGTTAAAACAAACTGCAGCCATCTGCTGTGACAGTCATGCTTTGCACTGCTTCACTGAACATGTGTTATGTGTCCTTTATTGCTGTGTGCAGGTGAAGAAGCAGATTTTGGATGAGAAGATCTACTGTCCTCCTGAAGCTTCTGTCCTGCTGGCCTCTTATGCAGTCCAAGCCAAGGTAGGCACAGCGGGATTTTCTGAGGGCAAAGTGGTGCTGGCTTAGTGTTGCTCCTGGGAAGCTGGGTGCTTTGTTACATACCCACTTCCTGAGGCAAGGAAAGTTGTTAAAAATTCAAAAGTGATGGGACTACAATAGCAACATTGTCTTCTCCATGCTGCCAATTTCTGGCTGCCTTTGGACATTGGATGCATTTTTATTTTCTCTTTCCAGAAGCCTTTAGCAAGCTCTCAGCCTGTGAGGTAGCAATGCCTACTTGAGTATGGGTTACTACTGGAGCACTTGAATTCCTGGAGCCTGTGCTTTTTTGGATCTCCTCCTTGCTCTTGCTGTTGTAACCAGTAGCAAACCAGCTGTGAGACTGGCAGCTCCACTGCTTCCCTGGAATACTTGTCCTGATAACTGCCTTGTTTTGAGTGCCACAGCTTGCCTCATCAATGTTATTGCAGTGTTAGAGATCTTTCTGACTTGTTCCTTTGCTGAAGCTTTGATCGTGGCTCTTTGGCCTCACTACACAGAGGGAAGAATTCAATTGTCATCAGGTTCCCCTCAATCCTCAGCTGAATTCTGCTCTACACCCAAAGTCAGTGGTTTTTGCCAAGAACTGACTCTAAAGAGCACTGTTTTGCAGCCTGGAACAGCCTTGGATAGCAGAGGAAGCAGCCAGCAGCAGGGGGACTCTTGTGATACAGGGAGCAGCCGTAGGTTCAGAGGTGGGGACATCTTGCTAGAGATGGTCATTTATCCCTGTGACACAACATGTACCACTGCCAAATTGAGTTTTCTAGCTAATCTCCAGCTCCCATGTAAAGATAATGCCATTGGAAAAGAAGAGCAGTTGCTGGAGTCCTCTCACAGCTCAACTGCCACATCTTCGTGTCTGTACTCAGTCATTTTCTGGATGCTCTTCAGGAAAGGGTTTTGACTTGCAGAACCATAGGCCAAGTGCCTGTGCCCCGCTGCTGTCCCTAAGGGGCCTCAGGGGACAGGCAGGGTAACTGTGCTCTGTGAGATCTGTGTCACAGTGCAGGAGTGGGATATTTTTCTGTTGCCTGAGGAGGGCTCGGTGCAGGCAGGGTGGAAGCACTCGTTTCAAGGAGTCTCATCCTCAGCAATGGCTTTTTCCAGGTTGCATGGTAACACTCCTCATAACCCTTCAGTCCGTGCCCAGTTTGTCTGAATCCAGCAGTGGGTGATGTGCACAGTGTTGTTTGATGACAAATGTTTGGATTTGCTAGAAAAAGGTGTGTTCTCCTCATAGGCAGAATATTGATGCCAGTCTGTTTTGTTAGAGGGACTCATCAGCTGGGGAAAAGAGTTGCTTTTAACAATGCTTGTGTGAAACAGCCATTGCTCTGATCACATACACGTGTGAACACTCGCTTGGGTTTTTCTCACGTGACCTGCCAAGCTGAGGGTACAGAGGGGATGCCACTTCCACTGCCAAAATGAATAAACCCTTGGGTAAAATACCCTTGGGTAAAACCCTTTACCTTGGGTAAAACCCTTGGGTGCTGTTCTTGGCCATGGCTGCTCACGTGCTCAGGAGCGGCATGGACTTTGGTGCAGAGCTGTTGTACTGTCCTGTGTCTGCTGTCCCAGCTTGGCTCCTGACCTTGTCCTCAGCAGCACGTGCTCTGTGTGTCTGGAGATCGACTGGAATCAGAGCAGTTCTCCTAACCTTGCAGATCTTGATCCTGCAGAGGCTGTGAGGAGATGGCAGAGGAGTGCCTTTCCTTATCTTAGCTAATGCACCTTTCGTGTCTGCTTCAGACACGGCTTTTCCTTGCTGCCCCTTTGGTAACCAGGCAGAGCTTCCCCTCCTGCTCTTTTTCAGGAAAGGTAGAAGTGGAAAGCAAACCCTCAGTATGGAGCTGGGAGGAAAGATATTGCAGGTCACCTCCTTCCAGTTAAATAGGATAATGATATCCTTTCTGAACAAGAAGGCAGCCACTGGGCACAGTAATTTCTCTAATAACCTGCTGATTTGCATGATGAGGGGCATAACGGCCTGACACGGAGTCAGTGTGGTTGCAGCTGATGAAACCACTTGATTGACAGCTAGGTTTGTTTGTGCTGCTGTTGAACCACCCACCTGAAATAACAAAGTAAGCGTGCGGGTCATCAAATTAAAAGCTTGTTTATTTCTATATCGTTGCATTCGTGTGGGGAATTACTCTGTGTTTTCCCCTCTAGCTCTGCATTCAAACCACCCACACCGCTTTCAAATATTGGAGATGGTTCAGGTTTTAAATAGCAGTGAAAGACTTGGGAACTATCAAATAAGGTGTCCCTGCAGCAATGGCAACATCCAAGAGGTTTTTCCATTCCTCGCCCCTCCAATGCAAATCGCTGCCCCGCTGCTCTCAGCACTTCAGGTCTTGAAGCACTTCAGCATTAGCACCAGGACCCTCTGCTTTTGTTTTTTTCCCCAAACAAACAATAATCAGCACTAATGGGTCGCAGCTGAGCGTGCCCATGTTTGTACAGGACAGCACAAGCCAGGCTGGATGATGTGAAGGCAACTTCTGCGTGTGACCGTGAATATTAATTGTGTCATACAATTACCAGGAGTTAAAATTCTGTGACAGTTTTGAAGCAATTATTTAATTGGAAAGGTCTTTAAAAGTGTGTTTGCCGAATCATTTGAGCCAGCTTACGCTGCAGTATTTAAGCCATTTGTTGGTTTTTCAGTTGTGAATAATGAGTGTCCTCATCCAGACTCCCCCTCCGTACAGGTATTCCTCTGGGACACGGCAACGTTTTTCACCACGTGGAAATCACATAACCCATGCTTAGTCTTGGATCTCTATGGCAGACCCCAGCAAAAGAAATACTCGTGTTAATCCTGTTTGCTGTTATTTTCATCACCTAGGAATGATTTATTTTCTGCCTCTCCAAGGTTATTGGAGTTGTTTCCCTTGCTACTTCCGTGTTCTTGTTGCTGCTCCCTTCTGACGTGGGTACAAGAGATGTATACCTGCAATGTGCTGTCACTGAGAAGCTCCAAGCCCTGTAGACCTTGGGAGACAAACAGTTGCCACTGCTCAGCACCCTGCTGAATGGAACCCCCAGTGTTTGCGTTGTATTAATTGAAGTCTGAGTCGGTGTTGGCTGTTGCACGCTTCCTTCACATCTGCACTGGCTCTAAATCAATATCTGTGTCTTTAATCCCTGCTTGTTGTGGATGAAACGTTGCTTGCTGGGCTGCTGAGGGGGTGTCTGTGTAGGCTTGTGATCTTGAGCTCTGGTTTTGGTGCACGACGTGGTGGTCCTGGCATTGAAAGGAGGCTGCCATGGAAGGCTTCCTGCCCGTATGAGCACCACATGCCTTGGTCTTGCCTTAAAAATTGTCACCATTTTGTGCTTTCTGAGCCGAGGAGCTACAGAGAAGCTGGGAGGGAAGGGCTGCTTCCCTTGCAGAACGCATGACTGAAGGGAGCGTTGCTGTGCCTTGTGTAATCTCCTAATGTCACTGCAGAAGTCCTGCTTGCCAGGTGAATGAGAATGGCAGCATTTCCTGTACGTGCCTCACATCCTTCATCCCATCCGCTTCAACCTGCGAGGTTATTTGAGGTGCTGCTTTCTGGCTGTTTCCTCCCCTCTTATGCTGCATGGGAGATAAATTCATTTTCACACGCACTGCAGGGACGCTCAGCTTTTGAATCTGTTAATAAGCAGTTTTATTTCTCAGCCGTTTTATATGCTGCTCGGAAGGATGTGCATCTAAACAAATACCAGTAATTACTGGGTGTGCTTAACAAATCTGATTTGGATTCCATGACCCAATTGAGCAACGGCCCCTCTGGCAGAAAAGTCAACGCCTGCCTGAAGGGAGCCTGCAATTGTCATCCAAATTCCTGTTATCATTATTATTGTTATTGAAATATTTGTTAATGGTGAACTGCAGCAGAGAAAAGACAATCTGCCTCAGCCGGCTTACTGGGATCAGTCATTATTTGGGGACAGGTCTTTGTCCACGTGTTGGATCCCCATCCCACTGCTGGTGGAAAAGCACAGATTCGGGCAGATGAGGTCTTTGCTGGTGCTGGAAGAAGTGTTTGCTGGGCATGGTGGGCACCAGCTGGCAGTGGGAGGTTTTGTCCTGCACCCTGCTTTGTTTGCTGCAGTAGAACAGGGATCTTAGTTTCTATGAGCAATCACATTGCAATGGAACTCTGTTTATTATGTTAACCAGGGAGCACGTGTTCTCACCTCTAACAAGCTGATGCTGAAGGTGTAGGTGGTCTGTATTTGTTGTGTCCACAAGGAGTGGATGTGTAAGGGTGAAGAGTTCTGTGTGCCTGCGTTGTTAACGGTGTGGGCGCAACGTCTCTGCTTCTTTCCAGTATGGTGATTATGATCCCAACGTCCACAAGCGAGGCTTTCTGGCACAGGAGGAGTTGCTTCCAAAGCGGGTAAGGAGCTCAACCCAGCAGAAGAATGAATTTCCACACTTGGTAACATTTGTGCTACAAAGCCCTTTGCAGAGAGGGTCTCTGTGGGGCTGCTTGCAGCGCATTGGGCTGGGGTGGATTCCCTTGTCAAGGTAAACGACCCAAGGAGTTGTACTGAGGAAGGAGGATTCAGTATTTTTCTGACATTTTAATAAAGGCAGAAGCAATTATTTCCTTTCTGATGGTTTTCACATTTTCATTCTGTCTGTGTTTCTTCTTGGTGGCCTGGAGACTGTGCATGCATGAGGGCTAAATCAGCACTGTGATATTGCAAAGCGTGGGGCTGAACATGCACTGCTGGGAGAGCAGGCAGGAGCTGTAATGCCTGGGGATTATGCTGGAAGCTTGGGCATTTCTGGCCTGTTTCATGGGTTGGGAAAACATGGCAGGTAGCAGTACGACCTGCATCTCTGTCTCCTTGTGTGTCTCAGGTAATAAACCTGTACCAGATGACTCCAGAGATGTGGGAGGAGAGGATTACAGCCTGGTATGCAGAGCATCGAGGCAGAGCAAGGTGAGTGTGTGCTGGAGTGGCCTGTGGCTCAGGAGCAGCCCCCTCACTTGAAGAGCTGCAAGGGTTTTGGGGACCTTGAGCAGGTGATGGGTGAGCTCTGCTCGTAGCAGGGTTAATCCCAGCAAGCTCGGCTCACAGGCTCACAGAGGGCAAAGAGCTTTCTTTATTCCTGTGGCTCTGCCCTGCTGCCCACTGGTTCCTGATGGGGTGAACTTGGGACTCGTGCTCAGGAGGGGAGCACCTGCAAGGAGGCACAGAGGCAGCCCTACTGCCCAGGGGCTCTGGGGGCTCACTCGGCAACGAAGGAAATAAGAGACTCCAAGGCAGAAAGTCAGACTGGTGAGGTGTATCACTGCTCATGTGGTAAAACACTCTTTGTGGGAGATATTCCTGAAGTAAGATAGAACTGGAGCATAGGACTCCCAGCTGAAGACTTTTCCCTTTATGCTTAAGGGACTGGGAGAGGAACAAAGCATTGCTTGAAATGCTGTGTCTCTCCGGGCGGGCGTCAGCAGCCATTAAGATGCTGGCAAGCTGCAGACTGGGATTTGCTGTAGGACTGTATTGATCCTGCTAGCAGAGACAAACCTGACCCATGTGATAGAGACAGTCAAGGTTTTAAAGCATCGTGTGTGCTTAGGATCAGAAAGTGCTGCCGTCTCACTCTCTCTGATCCTACCAAGTGTCTGTAACTCTGGCCTTTTTTTCTCTTTTTTGTCTGACAGAGATGAAGCAGAAATGGAGTATTTGAAGATAGCTCAGGATTTGGAGATGTATGGAGTGAACTATTTTGCAATTAGGGTGAGTGTAGGTTGTGCTTTCAAGGTGTTCAGAGTTCCTTGCTGGGGCAGCTCTCCTGTTGTCTGTGTTGCTGTGAGATTGTGTGAGTGGAGACCGCAAGAGGCAGCGGACCTGGGACACGGCTGTGCCATGTTAATGGGAGTCACTGTGCTGTGCTTTGCTACCCGGGAGGTAGGAGCCCTTTTAATATACAGTGCTGGTGGGTCACTGCTCAGGGCTGGTTCACAAAGCTGGCAAAGGCTTGGTTTGTGTCAGATTGTCCTTGAGTTGAATAAAAGGATTTTCTGCTCTTTTCTTTCCTCCCTTAGAATAAGAAGGGTACTGAACTGCTCCTTGGAGTCGATGCTTTGGGTCTTCACATTTATGACCCAGACAACAGATTGACCCCTAAAATCTCCTTCCCGTGGAATGAGATCCGGAATATCTCCTACAGTGATAAAGAGGTATGGATCCATCTCCCCTCTCTTCTGAGAGCAGTGCCAGTAAGAGCACAATTACAACTTAAAATGGCTTCTCTTTGCTCTCCTATCTGCTGTGCTTGCTATGACCAGCATAGTTGAAGGCAGCTGAGACTCTCCAGGAGTGGACAAACAGAAAGTCAACTGGTTTGATTTTAGAGTACCTTCAAACCCACTAGATGGTTTTTTTTTCACAAACAAAATCACTACTGAGGTGCTTAGCCCAAATATTGAAGATAAGAAGTTTAAATTGTTTTTTTCTGTGTGCGTGCTCTTGAATTATGGGATGTGGTGAGAGGTGTTCCTGGTGAGAAAAACTCTTGCATCTTGACATGCTATTACATCATCTTGAATTCTCGGGCTGCTGGGCTTGGCGTAACAGCTGGAATCTTTTTAGGAGGCTGAAAAATTTAAGCTCACCGTAAGAGCAATATTTATTAAATGCAGAGCGTAAATAATACAAGTCTTTAGAATTGTTGGCTGCCAAACCCATTTGAGAACAGCAATAAAATTGTCTGCAGAGGAGAAACCGATCTGCTCGGCTCTTTTAGTCTGTGAGAACTGCTCAAAGAAAAGCAACTGCCTTCGTGGTAAGGAAGAAAATGAACTTGTTAATTAAAGTGTTTTCCAATTTAAACGTGATATTGATCAGGGTAAAAGTTAAAGGCTTCTCATCAGCTGCATTTATTGCATGTCTTATGAAGTTTTGTAGGAAAAGGCCATGTTGGAATTCTTGTCACTTGTTTTTTTTTCTGCTCAAAAATAGAGAGCTCCATAACTCTGCCAAGCAGCTCAGCACTTAATGACTTTCAAAGACTTTTCTACCCGTGACAGATCAGTGGAAGCTGTCAGATCATGCACTGCATCAGAGATATGGGGATTGAAGGCCCTGTTACTGGGCCTTGACACAAGACTGTAACAGATCTTTCTCTTGGGGGGGAGAAAGCCTGCCACTTTCTATCAGGGCAATAATCTGGCTAATAAGATGACCACAAGTAGAACTGACATGATAGTAAACAGGCTTAATAGCTGGGTTTGACAGCTACACTGACGCAGCAGGGGTATTTAATCCATTGTAACAAAGATTGACTGTTTATGTGGAACTGAAATTCCTCCTCTGGCATATTTCTGCTGGTGCCTGCAATGACTGGCGTGGATTGTGGTGGAGCTGAAGCCCAGGACGTTCACGCACGTCTGCCTGTGTGAAAGTCTGAAAAGATGGGCTCTTAAACTGACAAAACAAAACACTGCCAGGGCGAGTTCTGCTGAGTTCAGGCAGTACAATGTGTTGATAAATAGAGCTGGTTTAATGGGCGCAGGCTGCCTGCTACCGCGCTATCTCTTCAGCCAGTTATTTCTGTAGTATGTGGAGGAGTGATGGAATACATACACACCTTCTTAAAAATGCAGTATTGCAGAGCATTCTGTCTCTTCAAGCATCCTTTTGTTAGTTCAGAATCTTCTCTTTGTCCAGGGGCTGCGTTACTGAAGCTCTCAATACTGGTGATGCCACCTGTATCCCTTGAGAGAATCCTTGTGGGAAGGTGCTCTGGGGAGGGTGCACTTGGGATGAGCTTAGAGCTGATCAGAGGCACGAAGCATCAAAGCGTGTTGGTGCAAGGGAATAACCTTTTGGGCTGCAGAGCAGGCTCGAGACATCACTGAGTTCTGGAGAAGAAAATGCACTGAAAAATTCTTATGAGGAGCTCTTGCAAGGGGAAATGTTAACAAGAGGAATAGCTGCTTGTGTTTCCATATTTCTATTTCAGCCCTCCGTCACACGGCTGAGCCGGTTCTTCCTCTATTCAGAGCGTCAGGATTTTCTACTGGCCCTCCTCAGTTCTGTACAGCTTTAAGGCGAGAAGTTTCCTGTCTCAGTTTGGGAGGCAGTGGATCAGTCTCTGGGGCCAGGAGATGGGCATTATGCTTGTTGTTTCTATCTGGCACTCCTCTTTTTCTGGCCAGGAGCAGTTGTCTCCTTGGTTGCTTTTGACTCTAGTTCCCTTGCTTGGCTAAAAGCCACGGGGACAGCTCTCAGCCTTGTTTGTCTGACACTGCTGACCTCCTTTGAGCTAAAGCTTTTGGTAAGACTTTTATAGCTGTGTCATTATTAAGTGCAGAGCTCTCTGATAATTTTGTCCCTCTCTATTTTTTCCTTTTCAGTTTACAATTAAGCCATTGGACAAAAAGATCGATGTGTTCAAATTCAATTCATCAAAGCTGCGTGTGAATAAGCTGGTAAGTCTGCAGGAACAGGCAGTGAAAATTACTCTAGCAGAAGTTTCTGCAGGCAGTACGAGACAATGCTCTTGTGGGGCTTTTCCTTCAAGCAGTCATAGGCTGCTGAACTGGATGGGCTGTAGATGTGTCTTGGTACCACAGTTGTTATTCTGTCATAGCCTCTAGAAGAGAAAAGGGAAGATGGAACTGTGCTCGTTCACAGAACCTCTCCCCCTCTCCTCTGTTTTTGTGCTCCCTTTCTGAGCTCTCAGGTTGCATCTGACCTGCATGGCAGAAGCACATTGTAAGTAAAACTTTCTCCTAACCCTTGCTTTTGCTCCAAATTCCTTTTCTTCTCTTGCTCTTCTCTGTTCCAACCCGCGGCTTTAGGCCTCCCACTTTTGGGAAGCACCGTTGTCAGTGTTGCAGCCTTGGCTTTTTCAAGGCTGAACCCTGCTCAGGATGCTCTGCTGTCACAGGAACAGCAAGAACTGTGTGTAGCTGTCTGTGTTGGGGATCAGCTTTAGCTGGTACTCTGGATTAGGTGTCCAGTTGGCTTTGGGGCTTTGATCCAGGTGCTGAAGTACCTGTGCACTGTTAAGTTGCACAATGGATCTTCAGAAGGCAGAAAGGAAGGGGGACTTGGTTGTCCTGGCTGTAGGCTGTCCTACATGCCTGCTGTACTTGTGTGCACAGGGAAATGGGGCTTTCTCACAAAGGCCTCATTCACTTTTCTCATCAGGTTCATAGTGCTGACTGCAGAGGATTCACTCATAGTGTGTGAAGTGAAATACAGACATGTGAATTTATCCTTTTCTAAAAGAATCAGAGCTTAGAAACTCTTTCCTTGCTGAAAAATAACTGAGCTTTCCATCCTCTGCGTACCACCCCCTTTGCTTTGCTCTCTCTCCCTAGTATGACCACTTCCCTTGTCCTTCTCCTTAAGTATCAGAAGAAATAACATAGATGCTCAAAGCTATCTAAAAGTGTACAAGGTCACTTCTGATAAGCCTCTGTGTGTAGCCTTGCCCAAGGTGGAAAATGTTCTTCCTTCTTTTTTTTCCATCTCAGTGCTTTTAAGCTTCGTGTTGGGAGAAGGTGGAAGTTAATCTTGAACCTTAAGAAATGGGGGTAGTGAGAGCAGGGGAGCTGGCTGAAGCTGCAGAAGGCTGTTTTACTATTTGGCCTAATGCCTCCTCAGGGTTGGCATAATACTTGCCAGGTCCGTGCTGTGTTGGCTGCACAGAAAATTGGTTTCTGCAAAGAGCTGATGGCTCCCTGCCCTTCACGTTGGGGTACGAGAGCTCATAGAGCTTGGGTTTGGTGGAGGGAAGTGCTTACAACTTAGTTCTTTGTGTCAGGAGTAGAAACCACGCCACCATCATCACGCATACAGCTTTTTCTCTCCTCTCTTCACCTTTGACTGGAATAGATTCTTCAGCTGTGCATTGGAAACCACGATCTTTTCATGAGGAGGAGAAAGGCCGACTCATTGGAGGTGCAGCAGATGAAAGCACAGGCCAGGGAGGAGAAAGCCAGGAAGCAGGTGAGAGACATCTCCAGTAAACAGGCCGTGAGCCAGAATTGGGAATGCAAATGAGCTTGGGGAGGAACAGTCTCCAGATTGACATCAAGCACATGGAGCAGCTTTGAGGGAAGGTCCGGCTGAACGTCTCTTTATAGCAGCCTGCTCCTGCAGTGCCATTCTCCACATGGCTCTGTAGCTTGGTGACAGCCCAAGTCCAGCCCCCACACTCAGGAGCAGAACTGGGAGGAGGGGAGGGTTGAGCAAATCTGGTTGTCCCAGAAGTGTGGGCGCACCTTTCCCTGCCTCACTTTTGTCCTGAGCTCTGCAGCTAAAAAGATGTAGCGTGTTGGGGTGGCTGGTTGTAATTAAAGCAGGGGCTGTGAGGGGGAGCTGTGCTTTGTCGGGGTTCTTGGTCTCATTTTCTAATTACATGGTGATGGAATGCACGCCGACGTTTCGGGGGGTGCAGCCTGCATGCTAATTCAATGCTGGCCTCCTTTATCTGCTGCAGGTCAGCCCAGGCGGCAAAAAACAGCTCTTTGGAGGCAGCAGTGTGTAGCCAATGAGTATATATCAGCAAATTGGATTGTATGAATCATTGTTTTCTGCTCGTAGACCTTTTCTACTCACTGAAACCCACACAGCTAATCTGAATACTGCTGCTTAGAATATAAATATGGCCCTTTCTTACCAAAGCCACTAGATAGCAGCAGAAGAAACCGAAGCACTTAGTTGCACCAGGAGAGTCTTACTGTCAGGGGACTTCAAATTTGATGCACTTCGTTTGGTTTTGAACGTGTTTGCAGAGTGTTGGACTCAGTGCTGGAGGATTGGCCTGGCTTGGTGTGAGTTGTCTTGTGGGCACCACCTGACACAGCTCTCCTTCCTGCAGCTTCTGAATTGGAAGGAGAAGACAGGGCATGAGTCACACTGCAAGGGCAAGTGGGCCAGCTCCTGGGGGAAAGGGGCTTTTTGCTTTCCAACAAAAGATTCCTGCGGTTGGGAAGGAGTTGCCATTAGTGGAGCAAAAGGTCCTTCAAGAAGGAGCAGCATGGTGTCCGAGTGCTGGTGTCCTCGGGGGCAGGTCTCGCGATGTTGTGAGTTTTTTGAAGTGTTTGAGTAACACGAGCTGGGGGTGAGATCTTGTGTTGGGCTGCTAGAAGAGATGATGGAGTGATGCAGGGATGCTGAGAGCAGGCAGGAGCTTGTGCTTCTCAGGAGCTCCCAAATTCAGAGCCCTTGTGCTTTACAGATGGGTTCAGGCTTCTGCTTGGGTGGCTGCTCTCCCAAGAAGCCACTGTGCTGTCTTGTACACTGTCCTCCCTTCAGGATCCACAGTTGTTAACTGATTCCAAACAATCTCTTTACATCAGGACTTCTTGTTAATGGAAGGCCTGAGTGGGATGCAGACCATAATGATAATTGATGAAGAGAACCTTTAATAGAAGGAAGCCGAGCCAATTAGAGCTGTGGGTATCCCACTTTCAGAACACCGTTGGTGTCCAAGGAGCTGAGAAATGTGTCTTGTCACACTTATTTCCGTTATTAAACCTGGCAGGTGGCCTGTGCAGTGCTCTGAGCCCGGGGTGTAGCATGGATATTTATAATGTACCCATCTCCCTGGTGCTGGAGTGGTTTAGCTTGGTTGTTAATTAGCCCAATGGCGACCTTTCTGTGCTTGGTTAGCAGAGAGGCATAGTATGGTGTACAAGAGGTGGGAAGAGGTGAGAGGATTCTGGGGGGTTGTCCCACATAGCTTGGTTTCTCCCCACCTGGGAAAGCATTGTTCTTTCTTGCAGATCTCTTATAGCTGGAGGGAGATGGTTTGTTGTGCCTAGGAACTGATTGATATGGTGTGGCCTCCCCATCTGTAAGTGAAGTGTCTAGTGTGCTGGGTTAGATTTGTGTTTGTGTCTGATGGAGAGTAACAGCCACATCCCTCAAATTCCTTCCTGACTGTGTGTCAGTGTTTGATGTTCTGGTGCTGCCCTCAGACTGTCCTTAACCCCAGTCTGGCTGGCTGTTCAGCTTGCCATAGGTAACTTTAGGAAGAGCTCTGGGGACCTTGCTTGCTGGAGCCTGCCCTGTGAGTCTGTGCAGCACGATGCTGCCTGCAGATGTAACCGTTTGCAACAGCCTGCTCAGAGAAGAGGGGATTGCCTCAGGAATGGTGCAGGAACAGGGAGAGAAGGAGTGGGATGCTCAGTATGGTGTGAACAGAGTACGTTCACATCATCCCTATTTAGTGAAGTCCCCCCTCGTTGACGAGCAGAGAAGGAGGCAGTGCAGTCTTGTGTTCAAGCTCTCAAGTAGCAACTCTCTCTAGCCCTGAGAAAAGTATTTCTAATTCGTGTTATTTCTCCTCGCTTTTCTCTGTTTCTTTTTCCCAGATGGAACGACAGCGCCTGGCCCGAGAGAAGCAAATGAGAGAAGAGGCTGAAAGGACAAGGGATGAGCTGGAGAGAAGGCTGATGCAATTAAAAGAAGAAGCAACGATGGCCAACGAGGCCCTGGTAAGTCTCTGGGCAGCTGTTTCTTGAGGCACTGCAGCTGTTCCTGACTCTTTCCACTGCTAAAGCATTTGAGTTGTGACAGTTCTATGGCTGTTCTCAAACTGTTGCTGGTGGATGGTGATCAGGAGGCTGGATGGAGCTTATTGCATCCAGACGGTCTGCTGAGACAGGAGCACAAAGGAGAATTATTTGGGACAGAGCCTGGCTGCATCCAGGTTTTGGCTGCAGGAGGCTGCAGGCTTTCATGGAAGAGAGGGAGGGGATTCAATGAGCCATGGTGTCATGTGGAACATTCAGTTTGGGGCCCTGCTCCATCCTTGAGAGCACGTTTGAGGAGACATTGTGTGCTTGCTGGCTTAACATGTGTTTATTCTCAGATGAGATCTGAAGAGACAGCCGATCTGCTGGCCGAGAAGGCTCAGATCACGGAGGAGGAGGCCAAGCTCCTGGCTCAGAAAGCAGCAGAGGCTGAGCAAGAGATGCAGCGAATCAAAGCCACGGCCATCCGGACGGAGGAGGAGAAGCGACTGATGGAACAGAAGGTGCTAGAAGCAGAGATGTTGGCACTGAAAATGGCGGAGGAGTCAGAGAGGAGGTCAGAGGGTACAACCTTGCAGCTGTCTCTGCTTTGCTTTCCAGCCCCATTCTGACTTAGCACTACTGTGGCTCACCTCGAGGTAGTCCAGAGTTTGCAGTGAGTCCTTGGCCTCCCCTGCATGCACAACAGCAACTGACCCCCAGGCTCAGCTGGTTTCTCTGTTTTGCTGTTTGCCACAGCTAGGCTGTCCCTGCATAGGAAATGGTACAGGTAGAACAGCTGTGGCCCTGATCTTTCTCTGGATTAAAGCTGACATCCCTTCTCTGAAGCCTTCTTTGGAAGGGTGACGCTGTGGTGAAAGGAACAGGGACATCACCTGGAGTGCCCTGGTGCTGTGCCTTTCACACCCTGACAGCTGAAGGCAGCTCAACTTTTGGGTGATTTCTGCACGCACCCACTGTATTCTCAGGAGCATTTGACGACATGAATAGCAGCTGGTTTTGTTTTTGTCTTCTTTTTAATGTCAGTTCCATACTTACTATATTCTATTTGTTCCTTTATTTTCCTTCTCTCCTGTTTAGTTCTCCTTATCAGTTGTGAAGTTTGTGTTTCAGATTAGCTTTGAGGTCTCTTTAGCTCCTCAAGTCTTTGTCTCTTGGTAGAATTGATATTGCTGTCCTATTGATACCAGAACTCAGCTCTCACAATGCATTTGATAGTGAGCAAGAAAAAAGTCATTCTTGTTTCCTTCCAGCTGATTATTCCTTTCCATGTGAGCTTTCTTGGTTTCAGCCCTTTTGAGTGGACAAATGCTGTCCTTGGCTATCTCTTTTTGCCTTGATCTTTAACTTGTGAAATCTTCGCTCAAATTTCTATTCAGCAGAGAAAGCTTCCTTACCTGGCTTCCACTGCTGGGGGTTCTTTGGGAGCTCATAATGCTCAAGTCTGGCTACTTGTTTTAGAAAAGTTGGGCCCTGCAGGAGGGTGAAGTGGCGTGATTTTGGGTGCGTGGTCCTTTTTGAATGTAGTAAATAATTGTTAGTAGAGGCTTGCCTGTCAGAAAACTGCCTTTCCTGCTGTAAGCCTGAGCTTACCTGTTGAAGGTGTTTTTTCCTCTTCTGACATTCCGATGTGCTGCTCCAGCCCTTAGCTTACTTCTTATTACCAGCACAGAGCTGGTGCCAGAGCTGTCCTTCTATGGCATGGCCTTTTGTGCTAGTTAGTGTCCCACATGTCAGAGGTGCCACTGTTTCCCTTATCCAAATGATTTCTTAGTTTAGGCCTTGTTAAGGGACAGCTCTGTTTTACACCTATGCTATAATCGTGTTTATCAGCCTCCAGGCTTGGATCTAACATTGCCATTTGCTGTTCTTCCTTGGTAGGGCAAAGGAGGCTGATCAGCTAAAGCAGGACCTTCAGGAGGCTCGAGAGTCTGAGCGGAGAGCAAAGCAGAAGCTTTTGGAAATCACTAGCAAGTCATCCTACACGGTAAGAATGATCTGTATTGTCATTGCTGGTTTCCAGACAGTAGCTGTGGCATCCTCTGTAGCCTGGAGCAGTCTTGTGTCTCCATCCCGTCACAGAGGGGTATGAACCATCTCATTGTATTGCTTAGCAGCTGTTCTGTAATACTTAGGAGCACTTGCCCTTTTCATTTAAGTAACTTGTCCACCAGAACACTTTGCTCTTCTTTTTTTTTCCTCTATCTACCCTGCTTTATTCTACAAAGGCCAGGGAGCTGCTGATGGAATGAAAGGCAGCAAACTGTGAACTAATCTAAAAATGTGTTAGAGTCGTGCTTTGCATGTGGAGAGGACTGGCTCAGTAAGAGCTTTTAAAACAGGGTTAAATACACAACTGAGGATAGTCTGATACTTGTTAGGAAGGATAAACGTTGTTCCAAATCTGTGAAATGGTTCTTAGACATTAGCTGGTTGCTGTGCATCTTTGTGCTGAAAAACCAACTTCATTGAAGGGGGAGTATTCTGTAATTGCCCATTAAGAGGATTTCACACCTTCCTCTGAAGCATCTGGTCTTGATTGCTGCCAGGGACTGAAACACCAGACTAAACGACCAGTGCTCGTTCTGTCTGGCAGTTTCTTTCCTCAGCTTCCCTAATTGTGCTGCAGGACCTGCAGAAGCCATCAGGTGCTCCTTCCCTGCAGCTTGCACCTGCCACGACTGCCTCTTCTGCTGCCCTTTGTCCAGAGAGGTGGAGGGGGAAGAACTTGACATCTTCAGGAATAAACTCGACAGACATACGTGGGAGTTACTGACCTGTCTAGTACTGAAGTTTTAATTTGTATGTGTGAGCTCCTTCCCTCTCTCCCCTCAAACCTTTTGAGAGGCAGATTGAAGAGGGCTGGTGATGAAGAAGCTTTTCATCCAGATTCTCTGAAGATCCTTGCAAAAACATTCAGAAGCGTTTAAGAAACAGCAGTGACGGAAAATAGCGAGGTGTTTTTAGCCTCAGGGCCTTCAGTGGAGTGCTGTAAGGCTTGATGCTTCATAAACCTTATCTTTGGAGAGCTCCTCGTGTTGCTGCAGGTTTCTGGGATCCACCAGTTCTTGAATTCTGAGTTTAATTTACTCACAAGGTGAAGCATGCTTGTTGAAAACCTGCTGAATGGCCACATCAGCCCAGCGTTGATGTCTGGGCAGAGCACTCGCATCCAGGTTCCCTCACATGGCTGTGCTCATCCTTAGTCAAATAAGCAGAATCACAGCTAGTGAGCTCTTGTGCATAAATCCCTGTGCTGCCCACACCAGCCATCAGCAGCGAGGCTGCATTCCTGCCTGTGGAGTTGAAGCCTAATTACAGGAGGTAGTGCAGGACTGCATGGAGCTCAGCTCCACCCCTCCAGCTGCATCTGTCCTGGAGGCAATCTGTGTAGAGCTGCCACCTCCTGACACACAGTGCTGTATGCTCTCCTTTCCTCAAAGAGCAGTGGTTTGCCTTTTCTCTCCCTATTTAGATGACAGTCCCCTCTCACAGCTATTGCCCCCTCCCAGCCTTGGGAGCAGCACTGCAGCACACAGACACAACACAAGTCTATTGCTTTTCTCAGGCCAGCTGGCTGCCTTGTGACTGTTAGACCCACATTCACGTGGCACTACCTTGCTGAGCCCTTGTGTGTGAAGCACCCCATCTCCATCCCTTGTTACACCTGCCTCATGTCCCTCTTCCTTTGTAGCATCTCTCCTCTCTCTGCCACGTGAGCGCTTTGGGACAGAAGAGCAAGATGTGCTGAAGTGCTGCTCCTGCACAGGCTTTGGCTGAAAGGACCGTGCTGGGCAGGCGCAGTAGGAGGGAGGGAATAAGCCCAGAGTGGCCTGAGGGATGAAGGGTTTTGAAAGCTGCTGCTGGGAGGCTGGTGTCCCTCAGGTGAATGGCAGCTCTGCCAAATGGTACCAGATTCCAGCTCTTCTCTCCCTTAATGAGGGTATAACGCTGAGCTTGTTATTTTCCTTTCTCCCAGAGTTTGTGCTGTAGTCCCTTGGCATGGAGAGCAGGCCAGAACTTCCCTCCTGGGAAAGAGGCAAAAGAGGAAGGGAGGAGAGGACGGATGTGTTACAGAAATGACAAGAAGCAGTTAAAATTTTTCTTTGGTAATTTTCCAGTCCCTTGTACTGGCTTTTTAAAGCTCGTTCAGGTGTCTTTTTAGACCTTGAAGCCAAAACTGCTTTTGTGATGGTGGTGGTGGATGATGCATGAGAAAGAAAAAGCAAACCTGAGTCTCAGGCCAGCAGGGCTGGGAGAACAATTCATTCTTTACTGACTTGGCAGCGCCTCCTGCCTCCTTCATTGCCATTCAGGTACCACTCACAGCAAGACTAAAGGCAGTCGTCTCTTCTGTGATTCTTTGGAGTATGAAGTGCCTGTCCTGGGCCTGCCCAAGTCTTCAAGTAGCAAAGCGAAGGCAGTGGCAGCAGCAGGAGCAGCTCTCCCTGTGGGGAAAGCCTTATGACATGGCTTGCTCTGTGCTTCCCTCATATCGTCCATCTCATTTGCTCTGTTCCCCAGAGGGATGACTGCTGTCAGCGTGGTGCTCGCCTCTATTAACTGCAGGAAATTGCTCTAATGTAATAACAGAGTTATGCGTTTTGTTCCAGGTGAGGAAATGCATAAGGCAGAAGCTCTGTGTCCCCTTTGTCATCCGATGCCCCAGTGACATCTCATGTCCTCTCGATTAAAAATTCCTGTGACTCGTGCAAGCCTTGCCCAATGTGATCACAAATGGCAGGGAAGTGCTCTGCTCCAGATGCTGAGCCCGTGCCTTTGAAAGCACTCAGCATGTTCTTTCTTTGTTCCTTCCTTACGCTTCCTCACTGCTGCTGCTCTCGTACTTCTCCATCGGTTTTTTGTTGCTTCATGAAAGAGCTGTGAAGGCAGGCAGTAGCAGTAGTAACCCTGAGAAATGGGCATCAGGGCTTGATGGCTGCAGCAACTGAACGCACTTCGTGCTCAGCTCTTACTGCTGTTGTTTGGGGCTGTAGCATTTTTTTATTGTTTAAACAGAAGGAGCGTGTGCTGTAAATGGTAAAGGTTGTTTTAAGGCCAGCAGGATAGTTTGGATGGCCCTGGTTCCCCTGCACGTCTGTAAAACCTCACATGGGAGCAGCTTTGTAAACCTGCATGCCTCGTAGCGAAGGGTCTTGAATGTCAATGTGATGCAGGTATTTAAATCAGCAGATGCCTTCACTGGTCTGTCCCCTCTCCTTGGAGGGAGGAATTCAGGTACTCAGCTATCCCTTATGGCACGTGCTGCAGAATTAATGTGGTCGTGTTCTGTGTTAGCAGAACCTGAAACTGAGAGTAAGCAACGATGCTTTCCTCGCAGCATTAAGTGTGACTGATCTGCAACGTTCCAGGCCAGGCAGTGCAATTGTGGTCACCTTCTTGTACAAGATGTTTGCATTTCTGCAGGAGGCAAGTGAAGTTGTCCCTCTCAGGTTTGTCCAGGAGTGGAGATGAGCCCCAGCTCTTTGTGAATTCCAGGCTGGTGGAGAGTGGAGAGGGAGGTTATTGCATGGAGTAAATCTGTCACCAGCCATAACACTGGTGGTTCTTGCTGAAGTGGAGCTGGCTGCAAACAGTCCTAAATAGACAAAACAAGGGAAAGAAATTGCCAGCTACAGCTTGAGCTCCTGGGGGCAGGTACCCTCTGCCCTACTGCTGCCAGACCTGCCTGTCTCTGCAGAGCCATCTCCTGCCATCCCACAACAGCAACCTGATTCAGGCAGGTTTATTACAGGAATTCCTTAAAGGGGGACGGACCCCTGGCAGGGAGCTGGGTGACTTTTGGGTGCTGGGCTGTTTTCCTTCAGTCTAAACCAAGGGCCAGCATGCTGGCAGCAGCTGTGACTCAGATCCATGCGTGCAGTCTGCTGTCTGAAGCTGCTCTACCACCCTTGATGTGTGCTGCTGCTTGCGACCTCATCTAACAGACTGCAAGAGAGGAGTGATGATTTGAGTCAGGATGCTCATCCTGTACTGATAACAAGCTCATTTATTACAGGTGTGACAGATATTTTAGCTGAGGGATGGCCGTGATTCCTAAATGCTTGGAGCTATTAGTTACTGCAAAGATTAAAATCAAAGTTATGAGTGCATCTTCATGGACCTTTCTGAAATGGCAGCCTCAGTTAACCTTTGGAGTTACCATGCTTTTTGACCGTGCTTTGAGGAGTGCTGGAGCGCAGGACTCTGGTCACACAGGATCTCACGTTGCCCCTGCTCGTAGCCTGTGCTTTTAATACTAAATTTAAGGTTAAAAAGCTGCTGGAGTCTCCCAAGAGGCAGTGATGCAGTGACAAAACCTGCGTGGGCAATCAAGACTTTATTAAAGCACTTAATTTACTACACTTACTGAAGTAGTACTTTGTGCTGTGTGCTTGGGCTTTGCTCAGGTTTTGCCTCTACACTGCCTGTAACAGAACAGCTGCTGCAGGAGCATCTGTGTGGCCAAAGTGATTAATTTATCCTCTCTCTTCAGCAGTCCATGAACTCCAGCACGACAGCACTGCCAACCGACCTGCCGAGCTTCAACCTCATCAGTGAGAGCCTGTCCTTTGACTTCAAGGATACAGACATGAAGAGGCTGTCCATGGAGATCGAGAAAGAGAAGTAGGTGGCGTGCTGCCAGCGTGGGTTTGGCTGTGGCTGTGCCCTGTTTGCAGGAAGGAGAGCAGGACTTTTACATTCAGATGAGCCCTGGTGTGAGGTGAAGGGGGGAGAAGGCTTGTGGGGCTTCGTGTACCAGGTCGTTACTAACAGCTCAGAGCACGATGGAGCTGCTGGGTGGCCATTCCTCTGGATGGGGACCTGGTGTCACAGTTGTATCTCCGCTACCTGGTTAAAGGCAAATTTAAGCACGCTGAGCCATGCCAGCACAGTTCCCATCTGTGTGGTGAACCTAGCTCTTGGGTAGGCTTCCATTCTGTTGGTAGGAAGAGTTAACAGCAGTGTGACTGCTGGCATGCTGGACTATTGCAGGCAGGTGCTTGTGTGTTTGCTGTATGTGCAGAGCATGTCAGGATGGCTGGAATGAGGGCTGCATCCTGTGTGAGGGCTTTAACCCCTTTTCCTTTGAATCTGTGGCATGTTTATATATAAAAAGTATGCGCAAGCAAGTTTATGAGCTTTGATCTCGTGTTTTCCTGAGGGTTTAAATGCAGCCTTCGAAATTACAAATTTAGCAGAAATCAAAGCAGATCAGATTTTAATCTCAGTAGTAATAATATGCTTTGTTCATTGACTGGATAGCAGATCAAAGCTGGAAGGGCTCTGCCATAATGCTGCAGTTGTATCTTCCTGGGGCTGCAGTGAGGCACCCTGCATCCCGCTGGGTGCTTCATTCTGCCTCTGCTCCGTACCTCTCCTGCTTGTTAAATAACAGACCACTACTCCAGAGGCAGAGGTTAAGAATTTTTCCTCAAGCCAGAAGGAAAAAAGGGATGAAATCTGAAAATACCACAGTAATTCCTGGTTCTGTACCCTAACTAGGTCAGCCCACTCTTCTAAGCAGGAGGATCTTGGCTCTGCTAAATGATAAAAGCAACAACGGGCTGTCGCTGGCTTCTCTGGACGTGCTCTCATTCCTCGGGTGCTGAGCTAAACCTTGCTACAAATTTTGGCACTCTGAAAGGGTTCTTGTTAGTCTGCTGGCACTTTGACCCCAGTCGCAGTATTTAATCACAAGTACAAGCTGCCATGGTGTGACTTGTCTCCAGCAGATGCTCCTCTGTAGAAGGCATTTAAGGCTGAGTCCTGAGAGTGCCTAGTTTTCTGTTGTTGGTATTTTTTCCTTTCTATCTTTGGGAGACCTTTCTCCTTCTCAGGGATGCTACCTATTATTCTGGGTGCAATGCTTGCTGTCATACCTCTTAAATTAAACCCCTCTGAAACATGAGAGTTTGGTATATCAGAGTTCTTCCTTGAAAATGGCCCACAAGATTTCGTGCCTCTGTAAGTCTGTGAGCTGGGGAGAGGTTGCAGAGGAGTAGAGCAGTGCTGCTTGAAACATTTTTCTGGCCTGAAATTGCATCGTGTTTATCTGTCACTCAAAATGGGGAGACTTACAACAATCATCTTGCTGCCCTCACTTGGCTTGGCTTTTTTTTTTTCCCCTACAGCAACATGACTTACAGCTCCTAGTCAGGTGTCTGGGTTTTCTTTTTGACAACAAATAGCTGGAAGTAGTGAATGGATGATGTCAGTTCTGTACGCTTTAAATGATGAAGATAAATATGGTTTTGGTTTTTTTTTTTGTTACAACTCTATTGTTGGCTGCCACAAAATAACCATGTGCACCAGGCCGCTACTAACCCAGCGCTGTCTGTGTGTGCCAGGGTAGAGTACATGGAGAAAAGCAAGCACCTGCAGGAGCAGCTGAATGAGCTGAAGACTGAAATCGAGGCGCTGAAGCTGAAGGAGAGAGAGACAGCTCTGGATATATTGCACAACGAGAATGCCAGCCGAGGCAACAGCAAGCACAACACTATTAAAAAGGTATCAGAGGGCTCCAGTTTGTACCTTGCCTGATGAAATCCTTTTAAAACCAAAACAGAATAGCCCTTCCTATATTTTGCACAAGTTGTTATAATAAAATTGTTTGATCTAGGCTTTCTTCCCTGGCTGCTTAGCTTTGAACTAGGGCACAGGGAGCTTCGGCTTCTGGTGGCCATGGTTTGGTGTTGACTGCAACCAAGCCCTGTCCCTTTGGTGCTCTGTGAGGGGAGGCAAAGATCTCGAGCTTTGCCTGTCTTGCTGAAGCTTAACAAAGCTACAGAGGGCTGCTGTTTAGAGGGTTCTGCTCCCCTCCTGACCTCAGGAAAAGGAAAAGCCCTACTTGTTGTGCAGCTATTCCCCAAGGGCAATACGAAGAAGCGGTTTGAGCTCGTCTGGGGAATAATAAGGGGAGAAATACTCCTGATTTGTGAGCTCCCAGCAGAAAAAGCCAAAAGCCTCGCCCTCGCTTTTAGTCTGTTCTCAAGTAACCTGTAGTGCAGCTTCAGATACTAACAGCAAAATCTGCTGGTAAGGTTTGTGTGGGTGTCTGCTCCCTGTGCGCTGGACCCTGGCACCACTTGCCTGTAGAAATGCTCTGGAGATTAATACTGAGCCAGAAAGCCTGGGTCTGCTGGTGCAGGAGTCACACGTGGAAGGTCACAACAAAAGGCATTCTTTATTTTTACACCTGGCCCTTTGTCTTTAGCTTAGTAGCTCTGCTGTTCTCCCAGCTGGGTTCATTTTAATGAGAGGCAGGGGCTGCATCTGTACCCAGTGCAGAGGGATGGCGTGGTCAGCTCCAAACACCTGCAAAGGCTTTCCCCAGGCTTTTTGCTACAGGTGTGCTTTTGGAAGGTTGTGCCTGTATGGCACACTTCACAAGCATGCAGGTTGTGGCAACAATTACGGGTTTTAAAAACGAATCTTCTAAAAAACCCTAACAGGGTTTGAAAGTGTCAGTTCATGCTGATTTTCATGGCTGGGAGCTTATGGTCACTAAATGAATCTAGTGGATCTTGTTGGCAAGTTTCCCAGTGTTAGCTCTACACTATTTGGGTTCCTGTCTTTCCAGAAGGAAGAATATAAGAATATTCACAGACCCTTTTTATCGCTGTAGAATCTGAAAAGCTTTCTGCTCCCATTAAGCTTTGTTGCAGTATGTCTCCATACTCAGAGCCCTCAGCATAAACAGAAGATGCTAATTTTTTTTTTTCCTACGTAGCTTTTTGGGATATGTTCATAGAAAGCTGCTGGTCCCATTTGTCTCACTTAAGGAGGGCGCCTAGGCAGGCCCTTAGAGATGATGCCCTCACAGATCCCTGTAATTGGGGCTGCGGTCAGCTGCCTCCTGAAGCTCAGCCTTCTCCCCTGCCTCTTGGAGGGTTCCTGGGCTGCCTGGCTCGTGCATCTCAGCCAGAGGAGCAGAGGTTTTTTAAATAACAGTCTATTAGTGAAACACATCAGGATGAAATTACAGGCTGCTTTTGTTCGCACCTTCGGGAGGTCAGGAGGGCTTTTGTCTTCACAGTTGTGATGGAAAGGAAAATTCAGGACATGGGAGGTGGACAAGAGGATAGTAGTTGAGAAATGCATCAGTAATACCAGCCCTCTGCCCCACCTGGGGAGCTGCTGGGCACTTCAGCATTCGGGGCAAGCTGTACGGATTGCACGAATGACCTGACATTGCTCCTATCACAGAGGATTTTTTTTGTGTGTGTGTGTGTTCATTTTATTTTGCTGGTTTAGCCTCAAGCCCAGGGCAGAAGACCTATCTGCATTTGAGACATCAAAGTAGGTTATTCCAAGGTACTCTGCGTGTGGTGATGGGGTCACCGGCTGCAACACTAACCTGTGCATGAGCTTGCCTGTGATTCCACTACTCTCGCCAGCTCCCGCTGCTGCCGTCCTCACAGCATTCCATGCAGTGTGACACCAGTGTCCCCAGCACCTGCCCTTCCCCGTGTGGGAAGCCCTGCCCGGCTCTCACTCCGTCGGTAGCATTTGCAGCTTCTCCACATTCATTTTCACACCTGATTCCCCACGCTGGGAAGCGTCTTTCTTGGCAGAAGTTGAGTTGGCAACATCAGCGGGGGAGTGCAGGCATAGGATCTTAAATAATTAAACAAGCCTGGTTTTGCTCTGCTGCTTGTGGCTGGGAATCTATCGGAGGTACAGGGTGGCCTTTGAAGATTTCTTTAATGAAGTAAAACGGGATCTGCCCCCTTGTTTGCTGCAGAAAGAAATTCATGAGCTTAAAAAACCAAAACAAACAAAGCCCAGAACAAACTCCATCACTTCCTTCTCACTGTTGCTGCTAAAGCAGTTATTTCAGACTGAACGCTTGCAATTCTGTCTTGGAGTGGGGCAGCACGTGGATGTGTAGCCTGGAGAGAGTTGGGGCAGTGGAAAGCTGGCAGCAGGGGACGGTGTCTGCAGGTAGGGCTTGGGAAGTGTGCAGCAAGGGGACAGCACCTGGCTTTGGCTAGTGTGGCACCTCGGGGCAGCTCTTCTTAGCCCTGGGCTCTCCACTACCAGCTTTCCCCAGCCCTGAGAAATAACAGCCATTAGGAACAGGAGAGGTTTCCTGTGCTTTTCCTAGGGAACAGGGTTATTCCCTGCAGGCCGTGCTCGTGGACACCAGCTCTTTTTCAATGACTCAAATAGCATTTCTAGCATTGCCTCTGGGGAGACAGTGTTGAGATTTGAGCATTTGCTGAGCAATTGTCTCCTCCAGCTCTGCCGTGCTGCCTCCTGCTAGAGGCCAGCAGTTATCCCTGTGTGGCACAGGGGCAGGGAGACAGGCACGGTGTGACACATCAGCCTGGTGGAGCTGCTGTTGTGAGCCAGCTGAATCCCAAGGGTGACCCTGCCGCGCTGCCCTGCGCCTCGTCCCCTGCCTCTGTTACACTGCTCCTTTCTGCTCTGTCAGTGCTGTGTGTCTCCTTCACAGAGCTGGCAGTGCCTTGGGCAGCAGGCTGAGCCAGGAGCTCGTGTGCCCGGAGGGAAGATGTGTTTGGGGAAGCTGCTCTGCTCTTTCCATGACTGGTCTTGCGTGCACCCACAGCCTAGCAAGTTTTGAGTTGTAGCGCTAAAGGAAGAAGCAATGCAGGTACTACAATGATGGCAAACTCGGTTGGAAAAAACCTTTGTTAAAAGTTTCTTTGAGGGCTAGCAGAGCCCTGCCTGAGGCCTGGCTGGGGAGCAGTGTACCAGCACCTCTGGAGCTCCGTAGCAGATGCAGGAACACACTTCAGATGCAGCCTTCTCCCCAGCAGGTGACCAGAAGTGATCAGCACAGGTTGGTGCCATCTGGGGACTGCAGGGCAGTGCTGTGTGTCACTCACTGTTGCTCCAGAGCCATGCTGGTGCTCCCACGCCAGGCTGCTCTCATTGCCCAGCATCTCCTTAGAGAAAAAAGCCCACACTGGGGAGATGTCAGCGGTCCCCACGGGGCTGTTTGTTGCCTGTGGATACCTGCTGTTCTTTACCCAGTGGTTTGAGCAGCCCTGAGACACCTTGAATGTGGTGAAATCCACTTGTGGCCGTGAACAGGGAGGGAAAGCAGCAGTCTGAGAAGAAGTCACCCAGCGGCTGAGCGGGAGGCAGTGCTGGGGAGGAGCCCGTGCTGAAATGAGGCACACAGCGAGCACTGCATTGTGACCTCCGGGTTTTGTTGCCTGCCTTTGAAGACGCCTGCGAAGTTCTTGGTGTTTAATTACGTGGTTAACATGCTAATCCTATTTTACGAGCTCTGTGGGCACAGCACAAGCACCTCATCTGGAAACTGATTTCTCTGTAGCGCCGTGGGCTGGTGCTGCTGGCTCCAGCTGGCTTGGCTTCAGGAGGGTTTGCTGCTTAGACTGCAGTAGAATATTAAAAAAAAAAAAGAAAAAAGGCAGTTCCTCTCATCCTCCAGTGTAGGAAACCTCCCAGGACAGGCTGCTGCTCTAAAACAGGAGCACAGTCGGGTCTTTAATTCCGGTTGCTTTTCTTCCTGTGCTGTCATGCTTATTTACTGTGATTTAAGCCCTTTGAAGTATCCGGGCAAGGAGCAAATCTCTGTGCCCATTCCCAGCCAAACTGCTGTGTCCTTGAGCACTGCTCTGCTCCTTTGAACGCTGCCCACCAGGCTGCCTTTAGGCTTTTCTGCAGTGTTTCTCCAGGGCTGGAGCTGGCTCCCTTCACCCGGCGCTGCTCTTGCCCCCGGAAATCGGTGCAGACAGCTGTGTTGGGATGGGCCAGTGCTGATAGTGCTGCTGCCAGCTGCTTCTCTCACTGATCCTATTTGCAGCGCAGCATCACCCTGAAATCTGGTGAATGCTGCTTGATTTTCTGCTGAGGGATGCTTGGATGGGAAGCACGGCAGGGGTGTGGATGGGCTGCTTGGGGTCTGGTGTCCCTGTGAGCCCCGTGTTGCACTGAGCCACGAGCAGCACTTTTCCCACGGACACAGCGTGGTTCATTTCAGACATGGGCACCTGCAGGGTTGCCTGGGTTTGTCCTTATCCTCTCATCTTCAGGGTGCCCCCTGCCCTGTCCTCTGCTGTACGCTGAGGACACTGGGCTGCCAGCTGTGGGCCCGGCCATGTGTCACCAATATGAAGGTAGTGGCACGTAGGACTGTGCTGGGCACTGCAGAAAGCAGCTGTGCTCCAGCAGCAGCTGGGAGGTGGGGGACTGTGGCCATTCCAGGGGAGGAAGGTGGTGATGTGCCTCAAGAGCTTCATCTTACAGCAAAAACAGTGGTGCTCTGGGTGGGACAGAGCAGTCTGAGCTGCGTGGGGCTGCGTGCATCCATTGCTGCGGGCGCTGCGGTGGCCTGGATGCTGCTGGGCTGCAGAATGGGGCTGTTGCCATCTGCATCCTTTTTCTCACCGTGAGAAGAAAGTTCGCACGCTGCAAAAAGGGGCATGCACCCAGCAAGTGGCTGTAGGAGGAGCAGCACCAGTGCCGTGCTGTCACCTTGGGAGCCGCAGGGATGGAGCGTGGAGCAGAGCCTGGTTGTGGTACCGGTGAGCAAGGCAGCTCCTGGCACAAATCCCCTTCCTAATCCAGGAGAGGCATCCTGCATCCTGCTTTGTGAGCCCATATCCCTGCTGGGTTTGTTTTATTTCTGCCCCAAAACAGGCGAGGTGTGTGCTTCCACGCCTCGGAGCCGGGAAGTGAAACTCCCCAGCAGCTAAAATGGGACAGAGCAGCCTAATTTCCTTGTTTACAAGGAGCAAAAGGAAAGCAGAAAGCGTCAGGCCTATCAGCTATTTTTGTGGCAGCCTTTGAAAAGTGTTTCCTTCAACTGGAGTGTCATCTCCTCTCTTTTAAGCGCTCTCATCAAAGCGATGGAGGCTGGGGGAAAGTTGTGCTCCGGGCCCCGTGTTTGGGAGAGAATAAATGGTGTGGGAGTAGGAGGGAACAGGAGATGGGGGGGGGGGGAAAAGAGAATGGGGAAGGTTTGGGTTTTAAAAAGGAAATGTGTGAATGGAAAGGTCCGTCTGGGTGCTGGAGGGATGGAGAGGACACGAGGGGAGCGGGGGTGGCAGTAAAGAGGATTTACAGCCTGCAGCACTCGCCTTGGGTTTAGCAGAGACTGAGCATCTCCTTCTGAGCAGCAGCAGAACGTGCCCAGGGGTGGCACAGGGGGGATGTGGCCCCAGCTGTGTCGCAGTGGCCATGTGGGGGTTCTCCTGCAGCCCTCGTGGCTTCTCCGTGTGCCGGCAGCGGCGCTGTGCTTGCTGGGTTAGCTGCTGGAAAGTGGGTTTGCCGAGGAGGGGCTGATTGGTGGGGTTTTGTTACTGTTGTTGTTTATTTTCTTAGATCAAATCAGTCCAGCGGCTCTGGGTAAAGGCAGAGCTCCAGGCAGCCCCAGCGCGAGCCTGTGGGGAGCGGGACTGTTCCCTTCTCCCTGTTCTGATTCATTGGAGCTCTGGCTGCTTAATTGTGCTCCCTCTCCCTCTCTAAATTTTCTTTGCTGGCTCTGGCAGTGCAATGAGGAGCCCACCCCCCTCCCTCCTGCAGGAAGGAGATTATCATAATACTGCTTGTAAATCATTTTTTTTTTTTCCCCCTTCTCTGCTGACGAAAATGTAACTGGCTGTTAATCACTCGGCCTCGGCCACGTGCTGCGTGTGCGTTTATTCCCCTTGTTGGGCAAACAGAGCTGCTGCTGCTGGAGGGGAGCCCCGTGAGGCTGTGGGGAGAGGGAGGTCGGGGGGGTGTTGGGTCTTTCTTAGGAGCCTGGGGAAAGCATCCCTGCTTTGCCTCGCATGTGTTCCCTTTTGGAGCACTGAGCGTGCAGCTGGGCAGGGTGAGGAGGACGCAGCCCCTGCCGTGGGTTGGAGCGGCCGTGTGACCCTGTGTGCCACCTGAGTTTGACACTGCGTTCCCTGGGATGTGACCCAGGCTCTGGGGAAGAGAACTGCCTCTCACCGGAGCACTTGCTGCTGGAAGAGCCCAAACCCAGCGCAGGCTGCAGCTCCGGAGAGACGGGGGGATGCAGAAGAGCCGCCCAGCCCTGCTCCAGCATGGAGCCCCTGCAGAAACTCCCTCTGCAATGAAGCTTTTCCGAATGGGATTCAGAATGAAGAGCTGTGAAGGAATTCGTGAGGAGAGGACGCGGGGCGGGCAGGGCGAGGGAAGCACTTGGCAGTGCTGTGCAGGGCTGGAGCCTCAGCCCGGGATCCCTGCGACAGCACAGCGCGCTCCCGGCGGACGGCTCACCGCTCAGCCTGGCCAAACGAAGCCTTCGCAATTAGCGCTGCTTTGGCAACCCTGGTGGTGATTCAGCAGCTGCTGGGGAGGTGGCACTGCTCCCAGGACGCAGATTGGGGTGGTTAGCTTGAAATACTGCACTTCTCTTCCTCCCGGCTGAGGACGTGTCTTCCATCTCTCATTTCACCCATTAACGAACGGGAGCGTGGCTCTGACGCGGGGTAGTATTTTTAGTTTTGCCTCTCTCTTGCTGCAGAAAGCTTTGCTAGGGTGGATTTTGGGGTCCAGCAGAGCCTTGGCCCTGAGGCCAGCCCTGGGGGCGAATGAGCGGCTTCAGCTCCATCCATCGGGATCGAAGGCGGCTCCCATCGGGGCGGCCCGCATGGTCTGCGGGTTTGGGGCAGGGCAGAGGCAGGGCTGCTGTGGCTTCCCCACCACAAGAGCTCTGCTGACGTTTCTGACCTCATCCGCTGCCCCTCAGCACCCTTGGAGTTTTGGGGGATGGTGGCACAAGCAGGAGCAGCTGCCCATCCTGCAACCCTTTCCTGCACCCGTCCTCCACCCTCTGCAGCCAGAAATCCCCGCTTCTGCCATTCCCATTGCTTCCAGAGGGGCCTCGCGGGAGGAGGGAGTCACCCCGTGTCCCCTCTGCTCTCTTGCAGCTCACCCTACAGAGCACCAAGTCCCGCGTGGCCTTCTTCGAGGAGCTCTAGGAGGTGACCGGCCCTGAGGAGTGGGTTCCCATCCCACGGCCCCGCGCCGCCCCGATGCCTGCTGCTCCCACCTGGGCTATGGACTGGGATCTTCTCCTCTTAGCATCTCCCAGTTTGAGTTTTCCCCATGTTCTCCTGTCCTTTTTTTTCCCCCCCCCCCCCCCCCCCTTATTTTTCTACCTGCTCTGCTCTGTCTCGGCCCCCCAGGCTTTGTCCTCCAAGAGGAGGACGGGGTTTGGATCGCAGCGCACCGAGGAGTGGATGGGGCACTGCTGGCACCCGGAGCACGTGCAGGGAGAGGAGGAGAGCACGAAGGCTGAGGCTGCTGCTGTGCTGGGGAGAGGAGGAAGGGGCAGGAAGACCTCCTTCTCTTCCTCTGCAAGCAGGAAGGAGAACAACCCATGCCAACCAGCTGTAGCCTTTTTTTCCCCGCAGACTGTGCCAGACACGAGCAGTGTGAGGCTGTGGGTCTGTCCAGCCTCTACCCGCTCTGTGCCTTTCCAGGAGCTGCAGCAGCTCCCTTACCAGCTCCAGCTCACCACTGCCCTGTTTCACTTCCCTATTTAGGCTGAGCAGGCCGAGGTGCTGACGGCACCCAAACCCCCCCGGGGACCCCTGTTGTCTCCCCCACAGGCCCCTGCCCGCCGCTGGGCTCTGGGGCTGCCTCCATCCCTGTGTCCCATGCAAAGCATCTCCCTGCAGGGGCCCGGGGCGCCCAGTGCCTGGCAGTGGGGCCCGGCCACGCGCTGCCTCCACCCCACGGCGCCCCGACCCCTTTTATTTAAGCACGCTGTCTGTATCAGCTCCCTGCCCCATGCGTGCCTGCCATTTGGATGGGTTCTCCCCTGACCCTGGTACAGCCTTTTTCTATTCCCACGGATTGTTGTATCCTAAGAAATGATGGGTTCCTCGTTTGTTTTAATAAAAACTCAAAGCAGGAGGAGGGGGAGCTGCTCCTCGCTCATCTCTTGCTCACTCCCTGAGGCTGCGCCGTGCAGCAAATTGAAGCCCTTGGGGGACAACCAGGGGTCTCAGCGCTGTCCCTGCGTGGGGCGGCTGCCACTGTGCCACCCCCAAAGCCGAGGCTGCTGCTCACTCAGCCCCATCCCAACCCCAGGCGATGGATTTCCACATGTCGCAGCCACGCGCTCCTCCCCGGCCGTTCGTCCCATGGGCTGCGTTGGGAGCGGGCTGGATTTGTTCCTTTTTTACAGTATTTTTAAAGCAGGGCAGCCCAGGAGAGATGGGATTGCTGCTTTTGTGTGTGTCAAAGGGATGCTGCTGGGGAAAAGGGGGGGACGTGGGGCTGGGGGGGGGCTGACCTGATTTCCCGCGCAGCGCAGCCTCCACGTAAATAATGCAGCAGTCGCTCATTGCCTGCAGAGGACAGGAAGAGCCTCAGCATGGACACCTGGCCCAAAGAGGGTTGGGACGCCCTGTGTGCAGCTGCAGTTGCACACTTACAGCCTTGCACACCTGTGGACTTGCACGCATCCAGCGCTGCACTTTTGCAGCCTTGGGCACATGCAGCATTACATGCAGCATTGCACACAACATTGCACGCAGCATTGCATGCAGCACTGCATGCTTGCGTCCCCTCACACATGCAGGATTGCATCCCTGCAACCTTGCACACACAGCATTGCATACACGCAGGCTTGCACTCTTGCAGCCTTGCACACACGCAGCCTTGGGCACAAACAGCATTGCTTGCTCTCAGCCTTGCACATGCAGCGTTGCACTGCACAGCCCTGCAGCCCCGTGTGCTCACAGCGCTGCCGTTCTGCCTGCTTGCACCCTCGTGCAGTGCTGCAGCTTTGGATGCACTCAGCCCACAGCCGCTCTCCTGGCCTTGGTGCAATGGGAACTTCCAGTGCTTTCAAAGGAAATTTCGTTCCGATTTTTTCTCTCTTTTTTTTTTTTTTTCCCTCTCCCCCTTTTTAGCAAAATTAAATTCATCAAAGTCTAGACGGCTTCTGAGAGGATGTGGGTTGGGTTGAGATGACTTTGCCCAAGGAAAAAAAACTATCAAGCAGCGCTTCCCAGCCCCGTAACAACTCCTCCTCCCACCCATCGCCTCCAGCTCTGCAAACCCGGGCTGAGCCCCGTGCACGGGGAGCACTGCGCAGGGTGGGCAGATGTGGGTCCTCGGGGCTGCGGGGACGGAGCTGTGATATTTGGGGCAGATCTGGGGAGAAAAATGGGTTTTCTTCAGGTTTCCTTTTGGCAGCAGTTTCCCACCGCGTTTCAGTGCGTGCTGGGGAGGTCTGGGG